ATTGAAACTATCGAATGCCTATTACTTAAATATTGGTATAATACAAGCATTATATTAGACACGTAGACACCCCCATCAGCGACAATCTATTTTTATGTAGTGTTTTTTAAAAATTGTATTTTTACTATCTTTTTTAAAAAACATAATGTTATTATTTTAAATAATTATAATAATAAATATAAATATTTAATAACAATCGCGCCACGTTAACTGGTCCCGTGCTAAGTTCGTAAAGAACTTGTATTACAGGTACACCAGATAACGGAAATAAATATAAGATTTTTATTATACACCTACATATATTAAATATACATCCGTAACCCTGGAAAAGACATTTTTATATTTATCATACAAATGTCTTCCCTTGGCGGGATTCGAACCCGCGACCTCCGTGTGTAGTGACCATATCTCTTACCACTACACCAGATGGCCGTTTTTTTTTTCATTCTTTATTAGAGCCATACCTATTAGGTTAAGTCGGCCAGACGGCCGTTAAAGTAAAGAAAAATATGTTACAGTTGAAAAAGCAGCACAAATCGCTCACGCAGCGGCTTTCGCAAACGCCGGTCAGTGTTGCTGCGCCGGAACCAGAACGTACGTCCAATCCGGTATCTATGACAAGTTTGTCAAGAAAGCTGCCGAGATCGCAGAAAAGAGATCCGTCGGAAATCCCTTCGAGGACGTTCAACAAGGACCACAGGTTAGGCTAATACGTATCTTGTAAATAAAAAATATATCTAGTTTACGATAACAGTTACCTACCTGGTAGTGTTACTTAGTATAACGGCTGCAGTACCTAATGTAACATAATATAATAATAATTATTGTCACAAAAAGCTTCATAATATTTTATGAACATTTATAAAGTTTCTTATTTTTAACGTGATAACGTCTTAAATCGATGAACACTGGCCGTACGCACGAAAAAGTGTCACGTTACGCCTGAGTGTTCCAGCGAGAGCGCGGAACAAACTACAGAGAGGCACGATCGGCCCAAGCGTTGGCTTGTGACACATTTATCTCTCTACTCGCGTGATGTCAGAGGTAGCAAGTTGTTCGTATAGTTCTGCTACTGACTTTATCACATAAAACTATCGTCCGTAAACCGACTTTACAGATAACCAAATTTTTATTATTATTATTAAGCTGTGTATTGGCTAATTGAGATATGAATTCATAATCTGGTTAACTTAATGTTTAAATAAACAGATTAGGTTAGCACCACTACAGATGGATGATTGATTTTATTAGATCAGTAGTCGTTAGATTTTAAGCTACTTCATTTAGGTCACGTATTCCGTATCGCGACGGGCATTCTTTTTTAATAGGACACATCGTAGATACAGTTCTGTTTCATAAAATAAACTAAATTGAAGTTACGTTCTCGCGACAGAGAAGTCTTTTTAAAAGTACGCGTCCATTGGCCCGCGCCGGACGCACCGCACGCAACGTATTTTATTTTGCTTTGTATAATATCACATAGTGCTGCGCCTACTATCTGCAGCCCACTGAGTTTCTCGCCGGATCTTTTCAGTGGGTCTCGTTTCCGATCCGGTGGTAGACTCTGCGAAGCACTGCTCTTACTAAGGTCAGTGTTAGCAACACTTCCAGTTTGAGCCCCGTGAGCTAATCTACATGTTAGGGTGAAGCTGAAATAGCCTCTCAATGCTATCAGCATAGGTAGGAGAAATAAAAAATAAAAAAAAACTTTCCGCTCCGCCCGCACCGAACGCCGGCATTTATGAGCAAAAAATACAAAAGCAAGATAAATTCCGTTGCGTGCGGTGAGTCCGGCGCGGGCCAATGGACGCGTGCGTACATTTAGCCTTCCGCAAAATAGATAAGGACGATGCGTAATAAACCTCGTTACACACTTAAGGTGTTAAAAACAAAGACATACCAAACTGCCCTATAAGATGCCGATACGACGGTCAACCTTCTCGTGGGTGGATTATTAGGACCAGTTACTATACTGCGCCGAATACTACGCTGTATCAGGTGCGGCTTAAGTCACAAAGCGCGGTCTTGCGTCGCCCGTCAATCTTCCTCATAATGACCTAGCGAAGATCATATTCTGATCCTCACCCACTAATAATCGAATTACTATGACAAATGTTGTGCAGATCGATGAAGAAATGTACAAGAAAGTGCTCAACTACATCGTAGCTGGTAAGGAAGGTGGCGCCAGGTGCGTCGCAGGTGGAGACAAAGTCGGAGATAAAGGTTACTACATCAAACCTACTGTCTTCGCTGATGTTCAGGATGACATGAAAATTGCCAGAGAAGAGGTAAAGCGATATATTAACAGTTCTATAAATATTAATTTATTCCCTAACGCTTTCAATTTTACCAACAAAATCTTGCTTTAGATCTTCGGCCCCGTTCAAAGCATTCTCAAGTTCGAAACGTTCGATGAGGTGGTGGATCGCGCTAATGACACAAATTACGGCCTGGCTGCTGGTATCATCACTAACGACATCACCGTAGCCATGAGTTTCTCTAAGCACGTTCGCGCTGGATCTATCTGGTAATTAAACGTATTTGAAGCTAAAACTACAAATATATAAATAAGGCTATGTACCGTTCGTGCTCTTTCAGATTTTGGAAGACGTAGGTAGCCAACTCGATCCGTATTGTGCAATTTGACTTAAAAATTATAGCCGACCTGACATCGAACCTCGGTTTTGTCTGTTTTTTTTGAATTTCGAGTCGTAGACCTAATTAAAACTACTTTTGTTACCAAATATGGTGTTCGCCGATATTTGAATATTGTGCCAACTACTGTCAAATTTTCATTACAAAAATACCTCTTGATCCTTTCGATTCTTTGTAGTCGCCGAAAAATATAAATGCAAAATTAAATCTTAAAAATAATTTTGATTATTTATGTCCTTAAGCTCACTAATTGTTCAATTTTTAAGGATCAACACTTACGAACATGTTACGACTCAGACTCCTTTCGGTGGATTCAAAGATTCTGGCCTTGGCAGAGAATTGTAAGTACACAATGTTAATTTGGAATGGCACATCCGTTCAGAATAAATCTGTAATGTTCTTTCTATAGGTAACCCGTTAGCTATTTCGCTTCGAGTTCCGATTACTTACTGACTGCGCGCCATCTCTACAACGCTTTTATAGCCGACATCTCATCCCTAGAATCATCGAGAATATTCCACACATCTCTAGTCGTAGTTCCCGCTATCTGACAATAGATGGCGTTGTAATTCTCGAGCATTCTGGATCCTTCGATATTCGTTCGACTATTCAGCGATAGATGGCGTTAATCTTACCGGCGTAACATACACAAATAAAAGCATGACATTTTGTTGTAATATTTATTAGATTTTACGGATATTTAGATTAAAGTTACATAAAAATAAAATAAAAGATGTCTAAAAGCCTTCTATGTGTTCGCAGGGGTGAAGATGGAATTAGCCAATATTTAGAAACTAAAACAATTACTATGCACGTACCGAAGAAGCCGGAGTTCTAAGCGAACCTACGATTTTAATTGTGTTACCTTTATACTTTTGTAAACACGTTTAAAGTTAATTATATTCTTATTCATTAATTGAAGTTTTTTTTTGTTACATTAGTCCACTCTCTACACATTCTACTACATTATTTATTTTGTCACAATAAGCTAACTTTTTTTTGTTTCATATCGAAACGAAAGTTTTTATGATCGCAAAAGACACAAACTTATCAACATACCTAAGTAAAGTCTCCGATCAAATTCTATGTACCAAAATATTTAAATAGCCGAAACGCTGCGAAATATTGAAATGGTACAATTTCAAGTTTCCGTTAGTAGATGGCGCTGTATTCAAAAATTATTATGTCTAAATTTATTTTAGAGCTGGAATAACAGCGAATACAGTAGCGCGCTCGATGTTCTTCGGTTGATTCTCATTAAATTGTAATAAATTCATATTCAAGTTTATTTTTGTGTCTGAAATCTGTATACCCAAAATGAAAAGAGAATATCTAAACAGTTAACCTCAAAATTGTGTTAATAGGTAATTTTATTTTTATTTCACGAAATTATTTAAATTTAAAACCTGTCTTAAAATGTTCTAGCCATTTTTGGTGTGAAATTTAATCATATACTATCTTGGCGAGAACTAATACGATTTATTTTTTAGCCACATGAAAGTATTCTAACATACAACATTTTGTATACATTATTTATGGGCTTGTTTTACCGTAACATTTTATCTTAAATATTTTTGAGGTTAAAAGATAACACTGATTTATATTTGATCTTTTATCCCGCTCTATTTCTGCGCACTCCCTAAAAAATCTACAACAATCATCAAAAACAACTATTAACAATATACATCAATACAATATACCTAATAACGTTTATCAACACGTTTATAAACCTTCATGATTACTGGTCACGGAACATATAGGTGCCTATTTTGATTGTTTTATAAATAAATTGATAAAGGTCTACCGTTTTGGGCGCATTACGAAAAAAAAACGAATATATTTCAATTTATATTATTAGTTGTAATCCTTAGATACTTGGACACTTTAGATACTAATACTTATCTATAAAAAAATATCAAGATTTGTTTATAAATATGTGTACCTACCATAAAAAAGATATTTTAGTTTAAATTTGAAAGCGCGTTTACACTAGTACTCGATAGATGGCGTTATTTGTTTCTCAAATCAAGCCACAGTAATATTAAAAGATTTAATAAGAAGGCTTTTTCAAGCAACTACTAAAGTTCACACAGACGAAATTAGTGGCATAGTTTGCTATAGCATCTAGTTATACAATACACTAGTTGGATTTGGCACTTGCGTTATAATTTCGATCGGCCCAAGTAACCAGTCTAATCTAATGCAATAAAATACATTTAAATCATCAATAGACCAGTCGTCGAGAAACCTAATTAAAAAAAAAAACCTACTTTGTTACCAGTACTCTGTACTATCTCAGAACAGTCTGCAATAGAAGAACAAAACTTAACAATAAAAATACTCACCTACAATTTTGTACTGCTTCTCGGTTAGGTGGTTAGACATCATCCCGCAGACGTGAGCCCCCAACGAATGCCCCACGCAAGTTATCATCTTTGCCAAAGCGCCCCCTTGCGTCAAGTACGAGTAAAGCTGAGCAGTACATTGAGCAGCCAATCTACATAGACAATTAAGCATTGAGCTATTATTTTATCGCCATATACAGGGTGTTTTAGACATGAAATACACAAACTACAAAAAAACTGAGATCTTATCGATTTAGCAGAGAGTAAGTTAAATATGAATTACTAGCTTTTGCCCGCGATTCCGTCCGCGTGGAATAGTTACTTTGGCATAACGCTAAATTTTACCTCCACTTCATTTACGTAGAAAGTGGAAGAAATATTTTTAAATTATAACTAGTCAGGTCATAAGTATTGTCACACAGTAAAAACTATTCTTTTAGAATGCTGGCCACAAAAGAGTTTATTGAATTCGAATTTCGAATTGTTCATGAAAATAAAAATGTATACTTTTAGAATTTTACTCATTTTTAAATATGGAGTGGACGCTTAAAGAAGACCGTGTTGCAGTTATTGCGTTGCATCGTTGCGGTTACGCGCCAATTCAATTTTTTAACATACTGAAAAATTTGAATATAACCAAAAGATTCGTTTATCGTACAATCAAACGATACAATGAAGACTCTAGTGTAGATGACAGGTCAAGAAGTGGTCGCCCTCGGTCTGTTAGGACTCCAGCAGTGATAAAAGCTGTGAAGGCGCGAATTCAAAGAAATCCCAAACGTAAGCAGAAACTGTTGGTCCTTCAAATGAGGTTAAGCAGAACCACGGTGAAAAGGGTGTTAAATGAAGACTTAGGGCTTCGGGCATATCGAAGAAAAACAGGACATCGTTTGAATGCTCGTCTAATGGACCTGAGACTGAAGAGATGCCGCGCTTTGTTGAAGCGGTACGCGGGAAAAAATATCGGGAAATTCTGTTTTCCGGATGAAAAAATTTTTACCGTAGAAGAGAGCTACAACAAACAAAATGATAAGGTGTACGCACACAGTAGTGAAGAAGCGAGCAACCGTATTCCGCGTGTCCAACGAGATCATTTTCCATCCTCGCTCATGGTATGGTTGGGAGTTTCTTATTGGGGCTTAACAGAGGTACATTTTTGTGAGAAAGGTGTAAAANTCACGCAATCATAACCCGACGGACTTGGACGAAAGTCGATATTGAAAATTAACAATTCGAAATTTTTATATCACGGATTTAATTTTTAGCTCTGATGCCGAGAATCGTACAATATGATTTCTCCATGCGATAAAACATAATGTTGTGACATTCATTAGTAATTTATGAACACTTTCTATAAACGGGTTTGGTCATTTCGTACGAAATCAGAAATGCGAATGGAATAAATTATTTGTAGAACACAAAACAGTAAACTATCAAAACGTGATGACAATAAACAAAGGACTGTCATTCATATTGTTTACATGTTTCGAAAGATATTTTTTAGTTTTGGACAATGCTTTGGACTCAAGACAATGCTGTTAATGGATGCTGGTAGATTCTGCGAAGCATTGCTCTTGCTAGGGCTAGTGTTAGCAAATTCACTCAGGTTGAGCCCGTGAGCTCACCTACAATAGCCCCTTATGCAAATAGGTAAGGGAATAAATATTCAAAGAACTAGGGTAAACTGTACATTGATTGACAGTTAACGTTCTAGTATATTCATTGGTAATAAAATATAATTACATATTGACAAAATTAATTGAGTATTATGATTGCTAGTCTAGTTCACAATGTACTGATGTACTATAGGTACTCTTCTACAATTTTATTATTTATTTAAAATAATTCATCAAATATAATTTACAATTACATTACAATACACCAACTGTGTATTGAGTGTGTGGATGGGTGGGTGTGTGTGTGTGTGCGTGTGTGCGTGCGTGCGTGTGTGTGTGTGTGTGTGTGTGTGTGTGTGTGTTTGTGTGTGTGTGTGTGTGTGTGTGTGTTTGTGTGGGTGTGTGCTGTTACCGGAGCTCGTAGACATCACAACGTGAATGCCGCCACCTACCTTGAGATATGAGGTTGAAATCTCAATTGTATTACAACGGCTGTTCCACCCTTCAAACAGGAACGCATTAATGCTTCGCGGCAGAAGTAGACAGGGTCATAATACCTGATCGCACACGCTGACATTTTGCCTACCACCAGTAAAGATCCGGCGAACAGGTCTCAACGGTACACAGTGGAGGCCGATAAGCTAACTTCGCTCGTTTCTAATAAAAAATAACGAAACAATAAAAACTAACCGTCACGTATAACTGTCATTGGACTCTTCGAGTACGTTCCGTTGAATCCGTGAATGATCATTACATTTTTTCGGTCAGGCTTCCAGCCGTACGCATACAGGTGATCTACGCCATGTCGAACGTCGACCCACTGCTTGAATGGATGCTCTCTATAAAATAAAATTTTAAATTGGCATATATTAATTTCAACTTCGTTTTCTGGTTTCTAGGCAGTTGAAATATGATTGTACCATGATTGTACCAGATATAAACGTAGCAAATACATATTTCCTAAAAATTGGTATTGTAATACATAATAATAAAGAAAAGATAATTGCGAAAGATAAAGTTTTATTTTATTCCAATTATGGGATATGTATTCGATAATACCAAGAATAAGGTACACGGTCATCTAATCCCAAACTAGTCTTCCCTCTACTTTCATATCAATCATATTTACAGCTATGGTTATCATTCGTCTCTGCCAGCGACGTGGTAAGTTTATAATGTCCTTCTTCAAGAAGTCAGGTGAAAGAGAGCCAACAAGCTCTTGAACTGTACTTTGTACTGCATCTCGGGTGTTGAATTTTCCCTGACAAGAAGCTGTCTCAACTTTTGAAAAGTGGTATTTTGTCGGCGCATAGTCTGGTCCGTACTTGTAACTTAGAGACCGTCTTTTGTGCCGTATTAGGTCGAGCGCTGTCGTGTAAAAGCAGCGGAGGCGAGCAATGAGCCAAAGCTGGAATTAGCGAAACTCTGCTTCCTTGGGTCCAGTTCCTCACAGTACACATTCGCAATAACGCTGATGCCATTTGGTAAGTAGCTGTGATTATACCGGCACTAGACCAGTAGCTGTGACTTTTTGAGAAGCTTTCCTTTAGGGTATTGCCTCGTTGCTAAGCCAGGATGTTGGTTAGCAACATAATGATCATTTACGGTTATCTAGAAAATCCATTTTTCATCACAATTGACAATGCGGTTCAAAACCCCTTCGTTTATGTGTCTGTTAAGCAACGCAAGGCATACCTTAACGCGCGCTGTTTTTAATACGAGAAAAGCTTCTTTATTGCGAACGGTAATACTATCGGGATAACGCAAGGATACTATACGGATCACGCAAGAGCGCTTTATATGATCTTCACCTTCAATTAATCACACAGTGAAACTTGAACAATCAAAGCATTAAGGCGACACTTGCCTTTCTAGTGATGAAACTCCTAACACTTATTTCCACAAAGCGACACGCTCTCAAGAACAAAAATGGATCCTTCAAACTTATGTGTGTCTGATGAAAAATTTTCCTTTATTTGTTTAAATTCTTCTTCTTTTCCTTACTTATAGGTGGGCTCTCCTAATTCGTTTGCGCCAGGAATTTCTATACAGAGTTGTCGCACTGTCAAATAGGACCTTATAAGTGTTCGGGGCATATTTGTCTACCATGTGCCCAGGTGCTCGTCAATCTAAGATGGCTCTCTGAGAGTTTTTTAACAATTATTTTTTTAGTTCTTTAGCGAACCATAAAATATTTTACTACCATTTTTGTATTACGTTTACGTATTAATCTAACCGCGGAATTAATTATTTTTTTCTTTATGAAAGAAACATTAAATCATTTGTTTAATTTTTATTCCCCTTAACGCTTACTGTGTTCGATTTCGACGCACCGCTTCAATGTAAATGTAAAGAACTATCACAGTTTTTTTTTATTGTTATAATAATAGATCCACAATTGGCTCGGCGAAAGCTATAAAACTGACTTAGAAACTGCGCGGATCTTTTTGCATTGTTACGTTGTATTGTATAGCCAACGATTTGAAAATCAAACTTGCTCCATTTAAAGAATTTATGTAGCTTGAATTTTTTTCGACAGTACAAAAATGCCCGTATTTTTGTTGACCATTGGAGACCATTTATTTGGGGTGCACACATTAAATAAATAAAAATGAATATATTTGTTCGGTTTTCGCGTGTCGTCGCAGTTCTTGACTTAATTAAAACTATTTTTACGGTTTAACTTCACGTTTTACTGTCTATAATATATTATTTCCAACGTTTCGAGCACTTTCCAGTTTTCTTTTTTTTTTATTGCTTAGGAGGGTGGACGTGCTCACAGCGCACCCGGTCTTAAGTGGTTACTGGAGCCCGTAGATATCTACAACTTAAGCGCCGCCACCACCCACCTTGAGATATAAGTTCTAAGGTCTCAAGTATAATTACAACGGCTGCCCTACCCTTCAAACCGAAACACATTACTGCTTCACGGCAGAAAAAGGCCGTTGTCACGGACTAGTTGGTGTTGTTATTCGTCGACGTTTGAGTATTTGAATACCAGAAATGACACGAGTATTATAAAGACAATAATAAAAACGTAGGATTAAACCGTTAAGGTAGTTTTAATTATGTCGAATGATTTTCATTTTTTGAAAACACGATCAAAAAGGTAGTATAGAATACTTACGGTGTATATAAAAAAAAGTTAATTTCGCTATCAGGACATTTCCATTCTCTTTTCATGACGCATCGCCAATATCGAAAATCCATCATAGACATGAGATCGCCATCGGCTTGAGAAGCTGTAAAACCATTCAAAAAGATCAATTATTAGTTAGGACACATAAAATAAAACTAATATAAAAAAAAACTCAAAACATTCAATGTAATCATTACCACCTAAGTTTTGAAAAACTGTTCTATTAAGTAGTAATACTATTGTGTTAAGTCAGTTTTGATTATTACGAGTAGTAATATTAAAGCAAAAACAATATGAATCTCGAAATTTTGTTTATCAGGAATACAATATATATTTCTAAACAACAAAAAAATTACGTCTGCTGAATAAGTTTACGTAAGAGTAAGATGCAAGAACAAGGTCTGCTGTCTACTTTCACCACCTGCTCGGCAAGTTATGAACGTTATGATCATTACCCGGGGTAATTATACACAATGAAAAATGCGGAGACTGGATTCCAATATCAATGTGATCGCAAGGTCCGACATTTACAAACGGAACGGGATTCCTTGACGTAATGCCATGTCTTTTTGGTAGTGGACTGGCGTAGTTACTTTACTTGTGACTTGACTTGTGACTATTTTCATCCATACTACCTGGAGCCACTGCGGTCATCCACAGTGCGTTTCCAGAGGCCTTTTTTGCCACGTACCATCCGGCTATGGAATGAGCTCCCTTCCACGGTGTTTCCCGAGCGCTATGACATGTCCTTCTTCAAACGAGACTTGTGGAGAGTATTAAGTGGTAGGCAGCGGCTTGGCTCTGCCCCTGGCATTGCTGAAGTCCATGGGCGACGGTAACCACTCACCATCAGGTGGGCCGTATGCTCGTCTGCCTACAAGGGCAATAAAAAAAAATAAAAATAAAAAAAGACTAAGTTTTCGCCGGCTTCGACCACTTATACTTCTGTCATGTCCAATGAATAAATAGATACCCTGACTTAGCAGCAGGAGGAATGGTGAAGAATTGCATCAAAATGTTACCGAATTACTTTCGTATTTATAATGTTATTCTAGATAGTCAAACGAGCTCACGACTTTGTGTTACTATTATTACCTGAGCCAGACATACTTTTAGTAAAACGGCTACCTGCTCCCTTACAGACTGGAACGAATTATCCTTTTCTGACAGAAATGGCCGTCCTACCAACTACAAGGGGCTCAAAACTTTCCCTATCCGCAAGATTGCGATAGTCTATTTTTTTTAAATATTGTTGCTCTATCTAAAATATGATATTATTAGCTATCGGCATTTTGGGCTGATAACAATTTGGGCTTTATCTTGGGGGACCATAAGAACATTTTTCATTCCGGAATAGATAACGAGGTCGCCAGAAGCCAAGAACAGAAGCGTATTGGGGTTTCAACCAAAAATGTCCCTAATAACACAGGTTACATGAAACCTTAGTAGTATAGACCAAGGATTCTAAACTATCACTTCTTCTCCCGTTCATGGTCTATGAGAAAGCCTTCGACGAATTGCGAGACGATAGTTAATTATAATTTACATCAATTCACTTTTTTGCTTCTGCATATAAATTCAAATTCGAAAGTTTGCATAGAATTTAAATTTCGAAGTCGAATAAGATTGCAATTTATAATGTATTTATATCGTATGACCTACATATTTGTTAGCTTGAATATATTACTTTTCTTTTCCTAACTAATGAACAATTTCCGAAACCATATAATCAACAATGATATGTAGGTATTTGAATAATATTATGACATATCCGTACTATTGTTAACACAGCTTGCAGCCGAGTGCGCTGTACAGATAACTTCTGTCTTTGTATTGAAATGAGCTGCAACACCTGAAAATCATACGTTTGCTGCGTGTTCACGGGTGCTCATAGTGAATCACACTGTTATTTTAGTACTTACTTAATTATAAAAAAGAATTAAGTATTTATTCACATGTGAACCGTCCGTTAACTTTATTATTGTTTTTATTGTTCTAATACATATGACGGACAATTTCACGGAGCCCCTGGTGTTAAGTGGTTGTCTAAGTTCATAGACAATATCTCAATCCCACCGCCCAGATTTGAACAAAAACTTGAAGTCGCTTATTGTTTTGTATCAGCTTTGCGGCAGAAAAGGCTGGTTCCGCGATAACTAACAGTGTGAGCTCAAAATACTACCAACACCAAAAATCGTGTAAATATTTTTTTTGTTTTATGGTACTAATGTATTTAATTAATAGTGTTAAGATACCTAGTTTCCGAAAGAATATAATGTTTTTTAGCGAATGTGTGTCTATTTCTTTGACATTTCTATAAGCTTTTAGATGTATTTCAACATAATAAAGCGCCATTAAATTCGTGTCCGCTATGGAAATGACAATTTTAGCATGCCCGCCAATAAAATAGAAGATTAAAAAATATTCATTATATCATATAATACAGAAGATAAAACTAATTATTTTATAAGTTTGAAACAAAATGAAACTGAATACACATAACACTGAAACAAAAAATAAAACTCGACTGTAATAAGCAGCAAAGAAGAAGCAAAGAAATAAAATAAATTTGTGTGTAATTTTAAACTTTCTTTTTAAACCACCAACATATTTTGTTTTTACTTTTTACTTAATGTTTTTAATTCAGCCGAGTTTAGTTTACTTTATTATTTGTGAATTTAAAAAAAACAAATGGATCGCTAAACGTAAACGTTCCATTTACTATTCGGTTATCAATTACACCACTACAAACTCCAGGGAATCAGTAATAATAAAAAATACGTACCAACTTCGAATACGATTAAAAAGGTTAACAAAATCCCACACTTTCCTACGCTCATTTTACTCGAATAGTATATACTTTTTACAACACAAACACATACACACACACGACAAAAAAATTCAAATCATATTCCATACGTTTACGCTACATTATTTAAATTTTAAAATTTTATACATTTTAAAAGACGCGGGAAACGTGCGCGTCATTCGCAGGAGTTCGTGCGACACAACCAGCACAACTGACGGAGAAAGAAATGCTGGTCTTGAGAATCGTAATGAAAGCCGTTAGCCGGAATGAAGATCAAGTAAGCGATTTGGATGCGTAGGAAGTGATCATTAATTAAAACGAGTTGTTTAGATTTTTTTTGCTTTGTGTATAGGCAAAGACCAGGCAAGACCGAATCTAGGCCGCAATGATCCAGTTTATTTTGAGTATCAAAACCACTTTTACGGCTTACATTATTTTTGAAAGTTCAATACTATGTTAATGTTTAATAATCAAGATTTCCAAGTTATGATCCATGACCAATCCAAAGCCGGTCCTCCACCTTAAGCGCAAATGACTCTATTTTCTGATTTCTCGACCATTATTACTGCTTTTTTCTTTTCAATATAGCAATCGGCTTTTTGTGAACCCATTGTTTATAGAGTTTCTAAAACCTTTAATTTACTATATGCCAATTTTTGAGCATGAGTACAAACTTTTTTATTTGAAAAATGAAATGGAGCTAAATTAAAGAAAATTAATTTCACTGAAATTGTAATCTATCGATATGAAATGGAATGAAACGAAACAATTTGGAAAAATATCCCAATGAAATTACTGGGAAGTGGGACTTTGCTGTTACCTCAATGGGCATTTTGAAAGAGCCTAACTAAAATGTCACGTAACGGAAGTGAGTTTGTTTCATTTTCTCAGAATTTTGTACTTTCACAGATGCTCAACGGTTAATATACCACCATTATTACGCTTTTAAACGTCAAGAAACACTAAATTAACAATAAAATAATATATTACTGACTCGGTGGTACAGTACATAGTTAGCGACTCTGACTGATGCCCCGAGGTTAGTAGGTTCGATTCCCACATCGGGCAAGCAATCGTGTGATGAACCGGTTTGTTTCTTCTTATCTGGGTGTTTATTATCGAATTTAAACGTATATATAGTGTATAGTGTGTGTATATATTATAGTACGTATGTCAGTCTCTGGTATCCATAACGCAGGGAATCCTAATTTGAGGCCTGATGACCGTCGTTACTTGTTCCCAGTTACTTATTATAATAAAACAATTCACACAAATGCGCTCCTCATGTTCCCGCCAAAAAGTTTACAGTGACGCTTTTTTATATGAAAACTTCTTTGGCACCTTTGTAATTTCGATCTCGATGAATCAAAAAAACCAACATCATATATGAAAATATGTATAACTTAGCTTGCAAGACAATGATATAGAATACTTCTGAAAGCTCAAATCTGCCGCATGTGAACTGACTACAAACAAGTTTCTTCATTTATATACACTTGGCTATATAAAAAGTGAATTACAGAGTATTTTTTTTTATTGCTTAGGTGGGTGGACGAGCTCACAGCCCACCTGGTGTTAAGTGGTTACTGGAGCCCATAGACATCAACAACGTAAATGCGTCACCCACCTTGAGATATAAGTTCTAAGGTCTCAAGTATAGTTACAACGGCTGCCCCACCCTTCAAGCCGAAACGCATTACTGCTTCACGGCAGAAATAGGCGGGGCGGTGGTACCTACCCGTGCGGACTCACAAGAGGTCCTACCACCAGTAATAAAATGAAATGTAATAAGAGAAATAAAATGGGATTAGACGAAATGAAATAGTGTCTCTCTCATTAAAACTATGCGTTTTTTTACAAAACGAATCTAAATTTTGTAAATTTAAAGATTAAGGTCTAATTACGACTTCTGATCGAACTTTTTTTTCTACCCACTGTTCTACACCTCGAGTTCTTAATCAAGGTTTCACCGAATGCGTAAGCGAGTTTATTAATTATTACGGGGCTCAGCTGAGTGTCATCCCAACGCACAATCAACAAACAACATTCAACAGTTTACTTTTTAAAATAGTGACATCTACAGTTCAATTGAGTAACTATTTGTGGCAGAAAGGGGCCTTCTTAATTGTCAAAGATGGAACTAATGACTGATTTAACATGATTTTAAAACAAAAATAGTCAATCTTAAATAACGATGTTTATATCAAGTACGTAATCTCACATAACCGACAAAAGCATAGATTATACACTTAATATGACAAAAGTCTAGATGAGCAAAACCCAATACAGTGTAATTAATATTTGTGGCATATAATAATTTTCTTTGTATTTATTCATATTAGTTAAAGTTTAGTGAGGTGGAACAGTATCAGAAAGCACTCATATCGGTAAGTAAAATAGAACTTTTACTATTTTTTTTATTAGCAACAATAAAATAGTTTTAAATCTGTTTCAAAATATTAATTTTACTGGAAACAGATGATAAAAATACCTATAATAAACCATACTTAATGTCTATTTTTCATATTTTATAGGTTATGAATTTTTTTTTTTCTTGCTGTGTTCTTTTACCTCCGCCTCCAATGATGACTTTATTAAGTTGTAATGTCTATGTACAGTCACAAACAAAAAAAATTCATTCCGCACAAAAAATGGCAATATTTTTTGGCAAATAGTAGCTAACCTAATTAATCCATCATCGTATTATTAAAATTATTCAAGTCTTATTAATTTTATATAATGAACGTTATATGGACTTTATGACCTGGTAACTAGGACCTTTAGGTCGAAAATTAAAATGAAATGATATGGGTTGAAATATAATCTCAGTAAAATGCTGGTCATTTACGGAGACTTTTTCAATTGACTTTTTGGAGGATCCCGAGATGTTACGTTCAGCGGCTTTGTATCATTTTCCAACATTTGTGTACTTTCACAGATACTAAACAGTTAATAGTCCACCGTTATTAAACATTTAAACCTGAAAAAACATTAAATGGACAAAATATAACAAATCACACAACTTCACTCCTCGCGTTCCCGCCAAAAAGCTCAATGTTATATGATATGCAATAGCAGCATTGATTTATAACACACAAAAAGGCTTATCACACTTGCCTAAATTTAGTCGACTGAATTCAGAAGCAAATTTAGAAGCTTCTGATTACACTGTTCTAAATTCAGTTACTGAATCAATTGTCAGTTTAAGCGCGACGAAGTTGGACGTCTCGTGTGTGCACGAGGATGGCCTCAGTATTGTCTAGACAATAAAAAATTGGTCTTGGCGTAGCCGTCGCTGTCAGCTCAATTGAAAAAAAAAAGAAGAATATTTATTGCTCCGTGGAAAGATAGCAAATATGAACATAGTGATTTAGGACCAGCAAACTTCAGAAATTATCTATAAATGGATTCGAGATCGTTTGACCTAATATAAAACCTTGTGACACCGTTTATTCAAAAGCAGGATACTATCCTACGATAGTCTATTATATATCTAAGTATTATTTATCTATTACATAATCTAATCCTACGATAGTATAAGTCCAAAAGAAAGACTGGTTGTAACATTAAGATTTCTTGCAACAGGAAATTCGTATCAAGATTTAAAATTTAGTTCTTCAATATCCCAACCCCTGCTGACAAAAATTATCCCTGAAACATGTCGGGTTATTTATAAATGTCTGGCACATTAAATAAAGGTGACTGAAATTTATACTTTTTATTCGGAAGTAAAAAACAAACTAAAACGTCCTTACGCACGGAGAGCTATGGGACGACTGAAATCATTAAGTAACTAAATGCGATTACACCTTCCTATAGTCCAAGATCCTAGGGCCCCCAACGTCATGTATTTTCTGACGAACGGAATGTGGCCGATTGCGTAGTGTTAGTATGTACTAAAAACGCATGGCTATCTGCTACCTTGCTTAGACCTTGCTTAGATCTTACTCTACTAAATGCGTTTCTAATTAGGCTTCTAAATGATTTAATCAGTCAGAAACCATCCTTGCTACTGAATTTAGTATGCTAGCTTACTGAATGCTATTACACTTCACTGAATTCAGTAGCGACTGAATTCAGTCTACAAAATTTTTATGGAGCATAGACATCAATTAAACCTTCTTTCAATGAGAATTTATTCCTAAAACATACTTATTAAATAAGGATGGCACTGCTGTGTCGCAGTACAGTGAAGTCTTAATTCAATCGCATAAAACTCCTGTTATAGAAAGAAATGAAATAGCAATAAAAAAAATCGTATAATAAAATGCATGCGTAATAAGGAACTAATTAAATAACAATCTCCCTTTAAATAAATCAATGAGGACGGCTATCTTTCCACCAAGAAACCCTTCCCTTTTTTTTTACAAGCAAGAGAATTTGTCCTGCTCGTGTGATCCTTGTCCTCGTTTACCTAACTACGAGATACTAATAATTGAACCATAAATCTTCATAATATTTTGCCCAATTAAGTATAATGACACACTGTAGTTACGAAAGCAATACAACGTCAATGACGCATATGTTTAGTTTATGCCATGAATCAACAGATTTCCAATGCTAGTAGAATCTTAATTTAAATTCAAAGAGTTTTAAATGAAGTACTTGTAACCTAAGGATTTTTTAATGATAATTCAACATTGTGATATTTGCAAAAAGTATTACTTTACAAAACGTAAATTAATAAAAAAGGTCTAACTCTGTTTTACTTCATAATATTTTAATTCATTGTTTTTTTCTTATTTAAGTATTTATTTGTTACCTGATGTCTTTATTACGTACAAAATATCTGAGAAATATTTTATTTTGGAATCATTTTAAGTATTTCGTTTTCGGCCCGACATTGTGATTAAATAACTTCACCGATAACAATGAAAATGATTTCAAATGAAGAAACTCAGACAGAAAAGTCACGAGAATTTTTTGTTTACATATATGACTGAGCTTATTTATTATCTTATTGACAATTGACTTCATATGGCCTTGCGCTATTAAAAAAACCATGCCCCAGACTCATTCAGTTTATTGGTAAACATTGCACTGTACGTTTCAGTTGTAAATCTCAATTTTAGTACATAATATAATGATCCAGTACTTACTTCGTGGTTGAACACAATTACCTGCCACTGTAAGTAAATTAAATTTGCATTCATTTTAAATATATTCTCGTTTGGCATTAAATTACCGGTAAATCGTAAAATAATGTATGTAGTGTTAGTAACGTAGTGTTTATATGCCCGTCAATAACTGCTTTTTGTTCTTAAGCTTTCTTCGATATCTCGCAATTTCTTGGTCATATAAGCACCACCTATCTCCTTACAGGAATTAAATAATATCAGTAAATTATAACGTATGACCTTATGACTTGTTGGCCAAAATATTATGATAACAAAGAGTGTTATTTTATTTCGTACATAGGTATATAGTAGATTGAACGAGTTCAAGTTCTACCCGTGGATAAGTATGTACTGTGGAGTCCATACATATAACAACGTGAATGCCGCCACCCACCTTGAGACATATGGTCTATGTCTCAATTGTATCTTATCTCATCTTATCTTATACCTTTAAACGAGCAATTCTTGAATATATATAATCTGAATCTCGGAAACGGCTCCAACGATTTTCATAAAATTTAGTATACAGGGGATTTCGGGGGCGACAAATCGATCTAGCTACGATTTATTTTCAGAAAATGTTGTTTTATTCGTGTTTTCAATAATCAACTGTTCCGACATCTATTGGCGAATAATAATACTATTTTTCTTAATTGAGGGCACTAACCAAGATGGCGTTGTAAAAAAAAAAACCGAGTGTAGCTCGGTCATCATCTATAACACAAAATAGTTTTCTTTACGAGTTTAATTTTTATTACACGAAGTTATTCCTTCATCGCGGAAGCTATTCGTGAACATTACATATTTCATTAGAAACATTTTGGTCTTTGCCCGCGATGTTTGAACACAACCATAGCCGCGTCGCTTGATACGAGTAAACCAGGCATCTTAATCACTCAGGTCACGATGACATTTAGGTTATTTTCGAGAATCGCCCAAAATTAAGAACACATGACTTAGTGAGTTATACACTCCGCGATTTATAGGTTAGACGACAATAGTCATTGTGTCGATGGATGCAATGGAACCTAACCAATGATAACGGTTGAGTATAATTAATTGAATTTTTGTGGGATGCTTTTTCGGCATGGGTTTTTCAGTTTGTTTTAAAATTGATGCATTTGATGGTGCTATGGTGGCTCTATTATTTTTGCCTGTTCTGAAATAGAGATCTCATAGTTATTTAAATATAATCCGAAATACTGATTTTGAATAAATTGATCTACTATGATTGCTTTATGTATAATCTATATAAATCTGATAAATAAATATTGACTGATGGTAGGGCTTCTTGTGAGTCCGCACGGGTAGGTACCACCACTCTGCATATTTCTGCTGTGAAGCAATAATACGTTTTGATTTGAAGGGTGGGACAGCCGTTGTAACTATACTGAGACCTTAGAACTCATGTCTCGAGGTGGGTAGCGGCCCTTACGTTGTAAACGTCTCTGGGCTCCGGTAACCACTTAACATCAGGTTGGCCGTGAGCTCGTCCAACCATCTAAGCAATAAGTAGTAAAATAAATAAAAGCAACCGGTAACAAGAGCGTCATATTGTTGTTGGTTTTCAAAGGTTCAGCAGAAAAAATACAGTTTGAAGAGCATTCTATAAGATGCGATTTTTCACAGGAAAGTGACGAGGACTACGGTAATTTGAATAAAGAAAAATGGAAGATTCAAGAGAACCAGGTAACATTAAATTACTCGTTAAATTTTAATGTCACTAGCATAACTTGCATTTTTGTCACTGGTTAATATATTAAAATTTTCATCTTGTGGTACTTAATTAAGTATGAATAAATGTTCCTAAAACAATTGTAACTAAAATCTATTTGGACAGTTTTTTTACGAATACTGTTTATGTCTGCAAATACCAAATTGAGAATCAATGTGATGTTGCATTTTAATAAATGTGTCTATTATATAGCTTGAGGCAATAAATTATAATCGAAATATCGAGTTTTATAAAAAATATATAATTAAAAAATGTTTAATACTAAGCTGAATTGTATACGACTAACTGTTTTGCCTAAAAGTAACCACAAGGTAATTTATCGTCCCAAGCTAAACATAACACATGTTATGCTATTCATTTTCACAATCCCGTTTTTCTTTTCCATATGATGCAGGTGCTCGTGTTTATACGTTCGTAGGTAAATAATTTATCATATTTGACTAATAATAATTCATTAGTTAGAACACTGGACCGATGAATATAAACTAACATCACTACATATTAACACAAGACTCCACACCACATGTCTCGGAAGAGTCTTAGACTTCTTTGGGTATATAGCACGCACGCGACAACATTGAAAAATTGTCGTTGACTGGAAAGGTGGTAAGCAAAGGTCAAAGGACAGGTACTCCGTGCGCTGGTCAGATTAAATCCGTACCGCACTGAACACCACCGTATGTGAGACAGATCGACGTGGCGTGATATAGGCCAGCCGGAAAATTTTAAAATCCCACCGAGGTCACGACCCTCAAAATTGAGGATTTACGACGCAAAGAGTGTTAGTCAAAATAATGATAAAATGAATTGAAAGTAAAATAGAACGGTGCAATGTTTACAAAAATTTTTATACTAAATCAAAAAGGAACGGTTTGTAGAATCGATATTTTGTCACGCTAACAGTGGTGAAGTAATTTACAAGATACGCGTTAATATTTTATTCCGCAGATGACAACGACGAACGCAGAGATGAAATATACTATGATAAGTGAGTAATGTTTACTTTCACGGCTTTAAAATTTTATTTGAGTTTATGTCTAAATAGGCGAGCAGCGTAGCGTTATTGTGTTTTCTAGCTGCGATGTCAGGTATGAGGTATAATTTATAATAATAATGAAGACACATCAATATGTGATAACAGTTTTAAAAAAGCTCAGTTCCAAGTTTACTATTTCTTTTCAAATTATTTTTTGTCATGATGGGTACGGCATCACTCTAAAACAATGCAATTAAGACTAGTCTGCGGGGCTTATTACAGCACCACAAATATGAATTATCGAAATCGAAAATAACGATATTTTTCTAACATACAATTCAATCAATGATCATTCGAAGACCGGCGGTAATATTGGTAATAAGTCCTGTCATGAACAATAAAGAAACGTAGTCCAAAAATCGCTATTGTCTTACGCAATGTAACACAAATTAGTCTAAAGATGAAGGTAGCGTCCGCCACCTGGTTTCGTTGTAGATTGCGTGTTCAGAAAAAATTTGTTTAAAACGAAACTGATTTCGGTATGGTTCTGTTATAGTCTATACTAATATTATAAAGCTGAAGAGTTTGTTTGTTTGAACGCGCTAATCTCAGGAACATGAGATGAAAAATTATTTCAGTGTTAGATAGCTCTTTTATTGAGGAAGGCTATATACATAACATCACACTAAGACTAATACAAGCGGAACACCAATAAAAAATGTTTCAAAATCGGGTTTTTTCCCCTTTTGAGAACTTCCGCTGCTTGCGCTGCAGAAACGATTAAAGTTTCGCTAAAATAATGTATGACAGAATTGTTCCCTTTTAAAAGTTCTAAAAAAAGTCCGCGTCAGCATATGTCTATATGTTAAGGTTGGCTCACCATAACGTTTTTATGCTAACCAAATTTGTTCTAAAATAAAGCATTATTGTGAACTATTCCACGCGGACGAAGTCGCGGGCAAAAGCTAGTATATTATAAGTATTTAATGCTTCACATTTTAGATGGTGGCAGAAATTTTGTTTGCGTTTTCATCAACCGGACTCGACACCCTCCTGGAAACCTAAGTGGTGGACGCGGTTTTTCCCGTTTCCCTTATTCTCAACGTACAGGCAATTAGCTCTGAAAATTTGCTTTATCTTATTCTGTAAGTCATAAAATACACACAATCCCCTCTTTACTTTAGTATAACTATTTTATGAAATTATCTGTGACAGCTCAGAATCTGGAACATTATCATGAAACGGTAAATTCTGATGATTACAAACAAAGCAAACAGTTTTGTTACAGCACGAAGTTTGTTACGTGTTTATTGTTGACCGCGATCAAATCTTACACGCTTCTATTTAATAATTGTGAATATAGTGATAACCAAAGACGTTCAATCAAAAATACCTGAACGTAGAGATAATAGTGAACCCTACAAATATTAATGTCACGATCAAAGCACTGATATAAAAGGAATGCGGCTGATGAGAAATTTGAAGAAATAACAAAGCTAATTAAATAAAATTTCCACAAATATACGTGTCGCCCGCAATCAGACCCGCAAAAATATAATTTGCGTAATTACTGGTGGTAGGACCTCTTGTGAGTGCGAGCGGGTAGGTACCACCACCCTGCCTATTTCTGCCGTGAAGCAGTACTTAATGCGTTTCGGTTTAAAGGGTGGGTCAGCCGTTGTAACTATATTTGAGATTGTAGATGTCTATGGACTCCAGTAACCACTTTACACCAGGTAGGCTGTGAGCTTGCCCACCCATCTAAGCAATAAATAAAAATGCAGTGTGGACAGCTTAAACTTGAATAAGAACTTACAACTAAAGTTAACCCATATAGGGTAAGAGACTGCAATGGCTAAAATAAATTATACGAGAAAAAATAATCTCGGCCGATACGATAAATCGAACAATGTTAAAATGGTTTTATTTTTATTTAATATAACATCACACCACCCAGCGGGTATTTAGGGGCTACTGCAACCCATAGACCTAACAACGTAAACACCGGTACTCGCCTGAAGGCCTAAGTGCCGATTGAAATAGTATAACTGCTGTCCCATCTCACTTTCTGCCCCCACTGAATATATAAAAGGTTTTTTAATGTAAACATTCAACATTATATAAAATTACAGTTCTTTTAACATGGGGAATACTTTATGCTGAACTTGGCGAAGCAATAGGTCTTCATGGCGAACTTCTCGGAATGAGTTTATTAGTCATAGCAGCGTACTTAATAGGTTGGATTTGGCTCAAAGTCACTACGTTACCGGCCCTGATTGGCATGTTACTTACTGGAATACTTTTCCAAAATCTCGGGCTGGTAACTATGACTGATGAATACAGAAAGTTAAATCAAGATCTAAGGTTTGTATTGCTTTTATTAGACACAACATTTCGTCTTTTCGCATTAAAAGTGTACAATTTCCAAAAATATTCGAAATTGAGTTAATATGCGGAATAATTTGGTATCACTAGTATTTTTCTCATAAATACTGTCAAAAGAGTGTAGTTTAGTTTTAGTTTTTTTTTTTACTTTACCTATGCTTTAACAACTATCAACAAAATTAATATATAATTTTATCTTACTTTAAACGACAGCTAATGTAACTGGTAAAAAATAAAAAAAATAATATTGCAAAGATGATTATTATTAAAAATATCACATGTTAAACTTTTAAAACACTCTTCTGTAAAATTAGTAAGTTTTGAGATTATACAGTTTTAATGCGAGAAGACGATTTGTGTTTTAAGATGATAAGATGTAGACTATTTTAATGTGGAAATATTACAGAAAGTTAGCACTGGTAATTATTCTTACAAGGGCGGGTCTAGGATTAGATGCTAAAGTGTTAAAAAAACATTATGCTGCGGTATTACAGCTCGGCTTATTGCCGTGGCTGGTTGAATGCATAGCTATAGCCGTAACAACACATTATCTACTACATTTACCTTGGATATGGGGTAAGTACATCTACCAATACTCAAGCATATTTCAATCGACGAATAGTAGTATAGTAAACTATTATTAATTTTTTTGATTAGGTCCAACAACAATTAATGGGTACAAAAATGTAAACTTTTCGCAGTAATTCACTGGTGGTAGGACCTCTTGGGAATCCGCACGGGTAGGTACCACCACCCCGCCTATTTCCGCCGTGAAGCAGTAATGCGTTTCCGTTCGAAGGGTGGGGCAGCCGTTGTAACTATACTTGAGATCTTAGAACTTATATCTCAAGGTGGGTGGCGCATTTACGTTGAAGATGTCTATGGGCTCCAGTAACCACTTAACACCAGGTGGGCTGTGAGCTCGTCCACCCATCTAAAAGTTATCGCAGAAACAGGTCGAATCGTAAGACGAACCAATAAAACCCTGCCAAGAAGATNCCGTTCGAAGGGTGGGGCAGCCGTTGTAACTATACTTGAGATCTTAGAACTTATATCTCAAGGTGGGTGGCGCATTTACGTTGAAGATGTCTATGGGCTCCAGTAACCACTTAACACCAGGTGGGCTGTGAGCTCGTCCACCCATCTAAAAGTTATCGCAGAAACAGGTCGAATCGTAAGACGAACCAATAAAACCCTGCCAAGAAGATTTACGAATGTTGTTCCCTCAGTGGGACATTCGTAAGACCAGTGGCGTATATGTAATATGTATATTAATGGAAAAAACTTATAACCAAATAAAATCCTGCAGGGTCCTATTGTGGGCTGAGAACGATGGTATTTAATGGAAATATTAAAGTCTATAAATTTTATAGACAATTTGTTATTTTTTTTATTTTTGTTATTTTTTTGTTTTTGTATTTTTTGTTAATTTTTGTTATTTTTTTTACTGGTGGTAGGACCTCTTGTGAGTCCGCACGGGTAGGTACCACCGCCCCGCCTATTTCTGCCGTGAAGCAGTAATGTGTTTCGGCTTGAAGGGTGGGGTAGCCGTTGTAACTATACTGAGATCTTAGAACTTATATCTCGAGGTGGGTGGCGCATTTACGTTGTAGATGTCTATGGGCTCCAGTAACCACTTAACACCAGGTGGGCTGTGAGCTCATCCATCCATCTAAGCAATAAAAAAAAGGTAGTTTTTTTTTTTTTTCGAACCGAACCGAACCGAACCCTTCGAACCGAAATGCATTACTGCTTCACGGCGGAAATAGGCGGGGTGGTGGTACCTACCCGTGCGGACTCCCAAGAGGTCCTACCACCAGTGATTACGCAAATTATAATTTTGCGGGTTTGATTTGTATCCTTTACGCCACAACGACTTCCAAGGTTTTTTTTAACCTAGGTTTTTTTTTAATTTTAACTTAGGCCGTGAGCCCTTTAGTCTTAGAGTACATACGCCCCTGCCTAAGACATACATTTGGTCCGTTACGTAGTAGGCCACAAACCCTACAAATGATCCACCATTAGCCTTCAAATCTTTAACCTCAATAGATTAATTAATATTTTTCATCGAAATCAATTTGTAACTCAACAAATTATCAGACGAAAACATATCACAAGCTCATTTATATTTCTCATTTTGTTTTCTAGCTTTCCTATTAGGTTCTATGATAGCTTCAGTGTCCCCAGCTGTGGTTGTACCTTGTTTGTTTAGATTACGCGACATAGGTTACGGTGAATCCAAAGGAATACCGACTATGGTAGTAGCTGCGGCAGCAATCGATGACTCCGTGAGCGTGGCTGTATTTGCTATAATATTGAATGCAATGTTTTCATCGGGGTCAGTAACTTGGAATATAATTAAGGTATGTTAAGAGTAGGTACCATCACCCTGCGTATTTGTAACGCGAATCAGTCAAGCGTTCTACTTTTACAGAAGAAACAGACAAGCAATTCAGAATTCAACCACGCGTCTCTGGTTGACTCTGGCAATCATATTATAACACTATGCAACCTAGCAAACTATCCTGGCAATCTATATCTATACTTCTATACTAATATTATAAAGAGGAAAGATTTGTTTGTTTGTTTGTTTCGAATAGGCTCCGAAACTACTGGACCGATTTGAAAAATTCTTTTTCCATTAGAAGCCGACATTGTCCCTGATGAACATAGGCTAATTTTTTTTTTTTTTTTTGGTTTCATGTGTGTTTTAATGTTTCCGAAGCGAAGCGAGGGCGGGTCGCTAGTAAATAAATACATTGAAACTTTCCTTGTTCATAATAGAAATATGTAAATGGTTAATTTGATAGGCCAATATTTAGATTTAGATCACTTTATGTCAATTCAACCTGAAAGATCCTTATTCCATTAGGTCTAAGACTCGATTTCGTGTTTCAATGTAGACGGTGACAATTATACTGACTCCGTGAATTTATGTGTACATTTTCTTTTTAATTATAACCGACGTACTAGTTCGGTAAATCTAGAAAAACCCTTCGAGGTTACTAAAATAGGATGAAAAAAAAACCGTCTTAATTTATCTCAAATAATAATAATAATAATATTCTTCATAATTATCCTGTTAAGCGATGCATCAATTTAACAGACAAAAATAACTTTAAAATACAAATTTCAGTGATAAGGGTAACTACCATTTTCAATTTTGATTTTGCCAATAGTGCATATTATCAGTTTTTTTTTTTCGATTACAGGGTCCACTGTCTATCATAGCTGGAGTTGCATTAGGGTCGCTATGGGGGGCACTGATCTCGTTCATACCAGAGAGTGGGGACACTCACGTTGTACCTTTGAGATTTCTACTTTTATTTTTAGGGGGATTATTCTCATTGTTTATATCAAGTATGATCGAATGGAGTGGAGCAGGTGGGTTGTTCGTATCTCACACGGTTTTATTAATAAATGTTTCATATTATCCGTCTAACTTCGAGAACAGTTCAGAAATTCACCATACCAGATCCTGAGGACCGAATGGTAAACAGTCGACGTCGCCCTAAACACGTCATCACGGATCCTCCCGATCCATTAACGGTGCTTTTAGGTACCTCAAGCACCAGTCACCGTCCCCGCCGAACCCGTCGCTTGCGACGAAAGGCTCAACGAGTAAATTAACCCGCAGACACAGCTCACTAAGTTTCTCGCTGGATCTTCTCAGTGGGTCGCGTTTCCCATCCGGTGATAGATTCTGCGAAGCACTGCTCTTGCTAGTTCCAGTGTTAGCAACACTCCCGGTTTGAGCCTCGTGAGCCCAACTACTAGTTCCGTGAATCTAGAATAGCCCCTCGAGGTTACTAGAATAAGAAAAAGAAATTCAAACCATAGGTAGTAGATGCAGCCCATAATCTTTGAACACGTGCTTTGAATAATGCAATCATCGCTAATATTTTTATTTACTGTCGGCATTCCGCAGTTCCACGCAATTACATCATAAAATTGAAGAAAGCTCGGTTTTGAAATTAATTGCTGTTTGTCACGATACGAGTCTCACGTAACGTCGCTAGACTCTGAAAATATAATTCAAACAGACAAGCTTTGTCTTGCATTGATATGCCCTCTTCAAAGAAGGCTAGAGAAGAGTCCTCAACTGTAGGCAGCAGCTTGGCTCTGCCCTTAGCATTACTGGTAACAACTAATTACCATCAGTTGGACTATATTCTCGACTGCTCGCAACGGCAATTTTAATAAGCATTAATTATAATATTATAATTCATTTATGAAATCGATGACTACAGAAGATTTTGGACTATTTACAGGGTACCTACTAAACTAAGCTATGTGTAAAATATGAAACATTGACCTTTTTTTTTAATAGGTCCATTAGCAATAGTTTCATCTGGGTTTGTGGCCGCATATTACTGGAAGAAACAAGGTTGGGTAGTCAATAAAAATCCAGTTAGTGATTTATTCAGGATATTGTGGATATTTTTCGAACCAATTTTATTTGCCTTTACTGGAGCTCAAGTCACAGTAAGATTGGCTTTTATTCATAATATTATATTTAAGTAACACTAAATTATTTTCAATCGATCAAACCGGCGTTAAGTTTTTACTCTGACTAAATACATATAGAGTTGATATTTTTTTACCACTGTAATTATAAATTAATTTGAGTTATTGTTGTTGTATTTGACTATAGGGACTTAAATTATTTAAAACAACTATTTAAGCCATTGTTTGAGTTATTAATTTCATTAATATAACTTTCCACAGATAAGCACTTTAGATCCTGTTGTGATTAAGATGGGAGCGGTATGCCTTATATCGTGCTTGCTAATTCGCGCCGTTGCCACTTTTCTTGTCAGCTTCGGCTGTGGTCTTAATTATAAAGAAAAACTGTTTATTGGTTTAACTTGGATGGCTAAAGCTACAGTGCAGGTAAAAAATGACAGGCGTTTTAATGAATAAATAACATTGTAAACCGTTTACGTGCGCATAACCACAGAGATAAAATTTGATTTTTAAAAAAGGAATTTATTCGTTTACTACAGATCATTTGAGTTAACCGCTCTTTTTAGGGGATAAACGTACACTGACTTAAATACGAATTACTTATGTTGAGTTGATGTGTGGTGCTGACTAAGGGACGCCTGCACAGAATTATCCCTACAAAATTAGTACGTTCATTAAATTGCGACTGATTATGTTAAACAATGCATTTTTGCGTTTATTGCCACCTCGTTGGTAAAGCGGTTATGAAATATAGCTGCTAGTCAATATAAATATGTAAAAGACATTTGATGTTCGGGATCTATGTTTGTTTTGTTCTTCTGTCGTATTTGCGTCTCCGCTATCCATAACTCAAGAAAATCCTGAAGCTCTCCAAATGTATGTTCGATGTTAAAATTAATCTGTCTGTAGTCTGGTGGTAGGACCTCTTGAGAGTCCGCGCGGGTAGGTACCACCGTGCCGTGCCGTGAAGCAGTAACGCGTTTCGATTTGAAGGGTGGGGCAGCCGTTGTAACTATACCTGAGACCTTAGAACTTATGTCTCAAGATGGGTGGCGCATTTACGTTGTAGATGTCTATGGAGTCCAGTAACTACTTAACATCAGGATCAGGTGGGCTGTGAGCTCGTCCACCCATCTAAGCATTAAAAAAAAAATTTTTTTTTCTTCATCACTACATAGTATAAAACAAAGTCGCTTTCTCTATCCCTATGTATGCTTAAATCTTTGAAACTACGCAACGGATTTTGATGCGGTTTTAATAGATAGAGTGACTGAAGAAGAAGGTTTATATGTATAATAACATCCATTAAACTAGTGGAGAAATCAATAATAAATTACAGTTTCCGAAGCGAAGCGAGGTCGGGTCGCTAGTACTACATAATTTGTTTTTGTAAAACAAACCTAAACCTATAGTTTACTTGGGGTTAAAGGCCGCATTGGGTCCAGCCGCGTTGGATTTGGTTCACAGAAGTCAAACAACTGGTGAAAGTAATAAGCAAGAGGCTTACGCTGAAACGCTTCTCGCAGTCAGTGTGCTGAGCGTGATGTTGTCAGCGCCGTTAGGAGCACTACTTATCGCCGTAACTGGACCGAAACTACTGACTCGTGATAACGGTATATAATTCTTAACTATATACCATGTGTATCATAAATTATGTACCATGTTTTAGATTTAAAATGCTATTAAATAACAGATTCTACCACCGTGCCCTACAACCGGTAAGTGCCGGATTAAAGCTAATTTAAAACTAAATAATGGTAAGGGCTCGTTTAATAATACCATTTAGAATATAGAAAGCCACAAATGCTTAAAGCAATGGCCTAAAATTAACTATCATATGATTATATGTAATGTACCTATGTTTGTTTTCCAGGTGATAATAAAGTACAAAGTGAAGTAGAATCAATGAAACCAGTGGCTCACAATTCATCTCAGCTCTGAAAGAAAAATGCGAACTGCATACTAAATGACACAGTTTAAATATATATGTTCCGAAAAGAATTTAATTTTTTTTTCTTTTGGAACGAAGTTCCTTAAGGGACGATGCGGATAACCTTACTGGGAAAAAACGTCCGTAACGTAAGATTTTCATTGGTAATGCACACAGTGTACGACTTAACTTTGTAATAACGTACAAAAAATTACATATTTTTTTATCATTCATTGACTACGATCGTTGGTTTGCGCAATACACTAACTCTTAAGCAAACAACCATGAATAAAGTGTACCACAATAAATTCGCAAGTTACCGAATGACCGTGGTTTGTTGCAAAACATCCAGTTTTATTTTCTTCATACCTCGAATAGAACTTAAAATTAATATTTTTATAATAAGGAACTTCGTTCCTATTGGGGATCCCACGACACCACACATATTTTCTTCAAGTTAGGTATATAGAATTTTAGCTATGACCATCTTCAATAATATTCGTACACAATATACAAAAGACGCATCTTGCAACCCTTCAGATAAGGACAATATCTATCGGAGTGTTTAAGGTGTCCTTTTAAGCTAATATTTCTACTATCAAAAAAGCCACGGATTGCTTTCACTTTTCTATTTCTATGTTCCACTGTAACTTACCCAACCCAAACCTCACTTCAAATTTACCAATAGAAATATACAAATAAAATTTTAGTATATGTCTCATTGAGTTCTCAGACAAAATCGAATGAAGTTTCTGGAAATATCTTACCTTTTTTTATTGCTTAGATGGGTGGACGAGCTCACAGCCCACCTGGTGTTAAGGGGTTACTGGAGCCCATATACATCTACAACTTATGCGCCACCCACCTTAAGATATAAGTTGTAAGGTCTCAAGTATGGTTACATCGTAGCATCCGTTTCGGTTTGAAGGGTGGGCCTTCAAACCGAAATGGATTACTGCATCACAGTGGAAATAGGCAGGGTGGTGGTACCTACCCGTGCGGACTCATAAGAGGTCCTAACACCAGTAATTACGCAAATTATAATTTTGCGGGTTTGATTTTTATTACACGATGTTATTCTTTCACCGTGGAGGTCAATCGTGAACATTTAATAAGTACCTACGTATTTCATTAGAAAAGATAACCGCCTGGGGGACTCGAACACCGGTGCATCACTAGATACGAATGCACTGGAAGTCTTATCCTTTATGCCACGACGACTTAACATTTTACTTACTTTTCACTTTAACTTATTACTTTATTTTTTTTTTACTTATTCCGAATACTTCGTCTTTTGAAATGGGCTGTATATTGCATTTTCCCTTTATTTGTTAAAGAGAAGAAAAAAAGTTACAAAACAAAAACAAACTTTTAGGTTATGTATTCAAACTTTAATTTATGCATAATTTTATTTATGAAAGCAAATTATAAAGTTAAAAATGTCGGTTGTAGTAATTGCCATAGCCACTGATAGTGGTGTACCAATATTTTCTAGGAAACGAGGCAACAGTGACACTGTAAGTTATACAAAAAAAGGCAAAATAAAAGTTTAGTTTAATAGCTACTCAAATAATATTCTCGCATGTATATTATAATATTTACATTACAATTTAAAAGGTATACTTATAAAATGCTTAAAATCTTATACAATAATGTTTAAGGTACAATTTTCAACAATAGCATCATTACATGGTATTAACATGTTTACTAAATGCCACAATTTAACAATGTTGAATACGCTTGTTGATAATGGCAAAATATTATGGAAGGAGTACTGTAAGAGGTAAAATATATTTAAAATAAATAAAAAACTTGAAGGCAACTGGAAATCGTATGATTGCTTTTCTATAGGTATATCAAACTTGGCCGAAAATTCTAGAATTTTCAGTTAAAGTAACATTTATACCAATTATCTTTCAGCGTCACACTTATCGGCATAGCAACTGGTGGCTTAGAATGCGATTTAGAACTTCTCTTGGCATCTATACATGATGTCATGATATTTTGCATTGGAAAGAAGGAACTAGAAACATTAAAAAATGTTGATCAAACCAAAAGAGATTTAAGACAGTGCTATCCTTTAATAGATTATTTGTTGGAATCCCTAGATCCGAATGCAATTTCAAGTCCATTACCAACTTTAGTACTTGATCTTGTACAGAGCTTTTTGTGTCCACAAGCTCAACAATTGCAGGTAATGAATTTTCTAGAATTATAAATTAGAGACTATAAATTAAAACAAATTTAAGTCTGTTTTTGGTGTTGTCCTTATTTATATATAATTTCCTATACATAGTAAGACAAATAAAAAAAAGACATGGCATAAATTTGCAAAAAAAAATCATAGCATACTATTGCATACTTACTATTTGATAACTCCAAAAGTCCTATACACTGCAATTTACAGTATTATACACTCACAAATATTATAAATATGATTTAGAATAAAGCCTAGTCCTTAACAAGTAAAGTTTAGTGATTATAATATAATACCAATAAATAATAGTTTAAAAAAACTAACAAAATACGCTTTTATAGAAAATCCAACTAAAAAATAGAAAATTAATTTTAATAAATTTGAACTAAAAATAGTGTAAGAAAAAATGATTTTATTGTAAAAAAGCGTGGAATCCCCTTCTGGGATACCAAGTATGTCATTAAACCATATGAAAAACAATTATATTACAGCAAGCACTAGACAACTATGCGGAAAGTGTAACTGGGAGATGGGCATGCCTTAGTATACATGGACATCTAGTAGCCACAAGCTCAGATTTTGATGAGCTGAACCCAAGAGAAGCACGACTTATGCTGTTACTGGCTGCTTCACAAGATGGTGCACCCCTGCGCGAAACACCTGTATATTTACCTCACATGAGCCCAAATGTTAGTAAAAATTAAAATAAGTATATCCTTGCAATTAATTAAATCTTTGAAATTTTAGTTCAATATATTCAGTGCTAGAATTCGATTCCTCTTTAGGTGTTATTTTGATACTGGTCAATAATGGTTGAGGGCGTTATCAAAAGTGAGATAAATAACACAACTGGTTAATTGGAGCGTTTATTCGCGACTGAACTTAAAAAGTATAAAACAAGGGAGCTTGCGGACGCAGCAACATGTTATGACTACGAACAATTTTGCTTACATAACAAACTGTATCCCTACAGTCCACACCAATGTCAGGACGATTACTTACTGATCTTCTAGCTTTCAAAATAAGGGTTGAACTTTTTCTGAATGAAATGGCATCTAATAATTAGAACAGCAAACTAATGTTTGCATGCAAATTTCTGTGCCATATAACATATAAACACAGTAAGACAGCGCTTCACACGGAGTATACGTTTCATCAAAGTACAGCCTAATATGAAGCAGCGTTATACACAGTTATCTCATCATGTAAATAATGGGGCTAAATAAGATGGGTAGAAATTTTTTGAGGTAATTTATTAATTTATTTAATTTATTATTAAAATAGAAAAATAAACGAATATAAATGTACAAATATAAAATTCTAAATAACTATGTTATAATTCAAATTTTTATTCAATTTCTGCCTTAAAAATTGTTTGTCAAGCTACAAATTAAATGCAACACCAATTTGAGATTAACATTCACCATTGTCTAATCTTCTAATCACTTGCATTACATAATATTCGAAACAGCGTTCAGCGGGGCCTTACTGCATATTTTTTCATGTCCAATAGATGTGTAATACCTATATTAGTTATAAATACAGAAATATGTATTAATTATGCTTGATGTTATAATATGTGTAATGTTGTATAACTTGTATATTATGTGTATGTACACTGTGTATGTTTTGTATGTGTTTAGTAAATGCTAATTTCTCGATAAAGCAATAGACCAACCATAGGACTCTACATCACCTCTGAATGGCAGAGAATGCCTCGGGTATTACGTCCGTCATTGTACTAGTTGAATAAATACAATACATTAATGTTCGTAAACTAGCCTATTTTCCAAATAACGAATGAACATCTTTCGCTAATGCTCGCAGCGTTTTATTTTTATTTTTTTATTGCCCTTGTAGGCAGACGAGCGCCGGCCCACCTGATAGTGAGTGGTTACCGTCGCCCATGGACTTCAGCAATGCTAAGGGCAGATCCAAGCCGCTGCCTACCGGCGTAACTTGTCCCCCTCATAGGTTTAAATTTTTTTCCCCTACCTAATCGTTGGTAGCCTATGGGGCTATTCCAAATTCACGCGGACCGGTAGGTGAGCTCACGGGCTCAACCTTAGATAATTGCTAACACTAGCAAGAGCAGTGCTACGCCGAATCTACTGCCGGATCGGAATCGCAACCTACTGAGAAAATCTGGCGAGAAACTCAGTGGGTTGTGTCTATGGGGCTTAGTCGCACGTCGAGCTCTTCGTCGGAGTTCATGAGTTCGACGAGGACGGTGACAAGTGCTTGAGCTTAAAAACACCGAAATCCAGAGATCCGACAAGACAAGAGCGAAGGCGACTGCTTTGCCCCGTCGCCTGGTACGGATATGTAGTAAGCACCATAGTCGAATCACTTGTTAAGGGGCTTATCCTTCCGGGCTTAGTTGTAGTGTCCCCTTAGGCTACCGGCGAATACGTAGGAGAAAAAAGGACTTATCCTTTCGCCCATAACAACCTCAAAATCTCGATTTTCAGGTCGCATTCAGAGCGGTGACGTGCAAGCTCTTATCAGACGTTTATATACTAGTTGTGTGTGGAGCTACTCCGCCTCTATCGCAAATCGATGAAATAGTTTTGCTTTGTTGGGAAGGATACGCTCAAGTAATAAAAGAAGCCAAACTAATACATCCCAGGAATTTTCCAATGAGTATAACATTTGAACCATGTGTTTTAGCGTAAGTATTTTGCCTCTGTTTTTTTTTAATTGCCATTGATAGAGTAAATGTTAATAAAAAATATTAGCCGTACATTTCATTAGCCAATTATGTTTTAAATTATTGACTTGATAATTCATGTATATGTTTAGTTCATTGTAATTATTTTTTATAATCGTTATAAATGTGAAAGTGTGTTTGTTGGTGCGTTTATGAATTCTTCTTTCATGTCGAATCGAAGCACCAGATTGAAATGATTTTTTAAAAGTGATATTCATAGGTCGGAGGAGTAATGCCGGCTGTACACGCTCGTCTCGTTGTCTCGTGTGCCTCCCGTCCGCTCTCGTCGCGCAGAGGCTCAACACTAGACCACACCATGTACACACTCGTTATTTCAATTGAACTTCGGATGCCTATTGCGATACACTTAGAAGAAACTGACGCAGTTGGTGGACAACTAAACGAGCGAGTGTGTGCAGGCGCGCTCTCGTTTTCATCGCGAGACTCCCCCAAGACCCTTTGAGTCGACCGCAAGAACCAACACGCTTCCGAAGCGAACGAGAGCCACGAGTCGAGAAGAGGGGCCATGTACACACTCGTCCTTGGCCTGCCTCGTGGTGTCTCGACAGGCGTGTACAGCCGACGTAACATAGAGTCTATATATATGTCATATACTATATTTTTTTTCTTTTTTATTAACTTATTTAATAAGAAATATTCTTGAAACCGATCATGTCCGAGAGTTTCCGCGACCACACCGACCTTCTGTATTCGTTTTTGTTCTCCGATGTATAATTTTCCATAAATAAAACCTAGGTTTGAAATAATGCGATAATCTTCATTATCATTAGTTCTTTAAACACTAACAATGAAAAACTCCTTAAATACATTTAAAGTGAAAAACTATTTCATATATTTATATTTGTAGTATTCTAGTCATAAACATACCGAAGCGCAGGTGTGTATTTTCGAGACATTTGCACCCGACACAAAAAGGACGCGGCATGTCCGGGTCACACAGATTGGACATACTAAGAACATTTTACATAACTACAGCCAGAGATTTAGCTCCAGAATTGCGTATAGATGACCAAGAGAGAGGTATTTTTTTAATCTTCCAATTCATTATTAAATAAGGTATCACAGAGAGAGAGCAATCATTGAATTTTACTGAATACAATTAGCAGTTGCTATATATTTCAAATACTGTAATTCACTGTCACAAGCATATTTGTCCAAATTATCGGAATTATGAACATTTCAGTTTTGTAATTTGGCCACTGTATCCTAAATTAGGTTTATTGTTTTATTTTCAGATTATTTGGCTGGTTTAACTGAAACATATTGGTGTTCAGAATATCATAAATGTCACGCTCAGAGAATGAGAAATCTGTTGTGTTGTGTTCTTTACACGTCTACCGTCCACAATCACACAATGAGGTATTTTTATATTAATAATACAATTTCCAGTTTAACATATAATAAAACATTTAAACAAACTTCTTTTGTGTGTTCAGTATCGAGCTAATTTTCAATTTTTATGTAACTGTTTAATTATTTTTTTTTTAGTACTTCCATGGGTGGACGAGCTCACAGCCCACCTGGTGTTTAGTGGTCACTGGAGCCCATAGACATCTACAACGTAAATGCGCCACCCATCTTGAGATATAAGTTCTAAGGTCTCAAGAATAGTTACAACGGCTGCCCCACCCTTCAAACCGAAACGCACTACTGCTTCACGGCAGAAATAGGTAGGGTGGTGGTACCTACCCGCGCGGACTCACCAGAGGTCCTACCACCAGTAAAATTCAAAAGGTTTTATAGAAAAGATGAGTTAAATTTTCTCTTACAAGTCGTCGTGGCCTAAAGGATAAGATGTCCGGTGTACTGGTGTCGAGTGATGCGACTGTACCAGTGTTCAAATACCGCAAAGAGGTACAATTTTTTTCTAAGAAAGTACTTTAACACATGTTCACTAACGACCAAGATGAAAGCATAACACTGTGTAATAAAAATCAAAATGGTAAAATTAGAAATATACATAATTGATCATAAATGATCCATGCTTAAGTTACACTATACAATTGAGACTACGACATCATGTATCAAGGTACATGCGAGAATTCTCAGTATTATTAATATCTATGGGCTCCAATAAGCGTTCAACAAGGAAGCCACTACCTGGTTAAAAGATGTACACCATAAAAATAAAATGAAAATTTAATTAGCACATCATATTTTTCTAGATCGATCACAAATCAAATATTGCAAGATTTAAGTTCAAACAAAGAAATATATTGGTGATACCAATAGAGCATTGCATAGAAGTGGTGATGTTATGCGTTGTTATAAATGTTTTAACTGCATATTTACATCTCTAAATCTGCCAATGGCCTGAATGGTTTGGATGGAAGGCGGATGACACGAAACAAGAAGACAAGAGGTTACTAATTTGAAGTGTAGAATTAAAAAAAAAATTGAAATAATATAACATAAGTTTTGCATATTGGGTAGCTAAAATAGTCAACTGAAGGTCAAAGAAATGGACTCCCAAAGTGTTAATTACTAAAGTTTTTTTCAATTGTAACTCAAACTTTCTCCTACCTAATTACCAATTGCCTCGAAGGGCTATTCTGGTCACCTATCCACCATCCTATCACCAGACTAGTGCCAGGATGGTGGAAGCTCAGCCTGAGAGACTATGCTAACATCTGCCTTAGCAAGGCCAGTGCTTCGCTAAATCTACCACCAGATGGAAATTGCGACCCACTGAGAAGATTATGAGAAACTGTGTCTATGGGACTCAAGCTGTCATTATATTTCATTTGTATGTAAGCTTATTTCTCAAGACCTGTAATTGGCTCTATGTTATACTGATAGTTTTTTTTATATTTTATGATCATTTAATGCAAGTTAATAAACACTAATTATAATATTTTGCTTCCTCGATCTATCACCACACCTCGACATCCCCAGTAGTATTATTTCCTTTGAGCACTGTAGCTTCATTAAATTATACATTCTTCAATGCAGATTCATTAAGTCATTAAAGAATGAAGCTGCAGTCCCCAAATAAATACTTAAATGTGTAATCAAGGACAATAATATGTAATAAAAAATTAAGCCACAATGGATTTTATTTCGTTTAAAATTTCCTACATTATCACAATTTGATTTTGATTATACCGCTACTTATTTACGTTATTAATCAACATGATTTAGTTACCGCAGATGTAACAACGACTTGTTTATTGCTTACAAAAAGTACAAAAGTTTATAAGAAGCATATCGGTAATTGCTCTAGAATATCACCTAACTATTGTAATATTTTTTTGTGTTTTTCGATTGCTATAATCAAACTTAGTCAAAACAGATGCCCATATAATCCAGAAAAATTAAATAAATGTTACCATTATTTGACATTCGTAACAAAATTGGTTGACTGATAACAATGATTATAAATTATTACATTATTTTATACATGCTTACCATATAAATATTATCGGCAAGTCGTCCACATTAAACTAATCATTTAAAACTACTAATACTAAAAATTACACGAAACACAAGAAAGAAAAAGAAACGAAGCTAGATTGAAACAAAAAAAATATAGGCGGGAGTACATCTTGAATAATTGTCCTTTTTAATTGATTTACATAATATAAAATTATTATAGTCAACGATTGTAATTAATGATAATTATCCAAAACACCTTTTATTTTAAAAAACGAAATGTGATGAATTCTATATTATAAAATATTTAAAAGAAACTACTTAAAATTTACTAACATTCTGCACTGGGGTTGTTTAATTTTACATTTCAGTTGTTGTATTAAATCGAATATCTTAAGTGAAGGTCCAACTTTCATTTCTAATAGTTCTATGATTTCATCTTTAGACAGCTGCAGTAGCATCGGACCTGTTATATTGCAAAAATTAACGCAGTACGTNATTCTATATTATAAAATATTTAAAAGAAACTACTTAAAATTTACTAACATTCTGCACTGGGGTTGTTTAATTTTACATTTCAGTTGTTGTATTAAATCGAATATCTTAAGTGAAGGTCCAACTTTCATTTCTAATAGTTCTATGATTTCATCTTTAGACAGCTGCAGTAGCATCGGACCTGTTATATTGCAAAAATTAACGCAGTACGTTTGACAGTCGTTCACCGTCAGAAATTTCGCAACATCAGCCGCAGTCCAGTTTTCAGGATCAACTGAATTTAATATATCTAAGGGCACTGTAGTGTTGACTAGTCTCGGTATCACTTTATCTGGATCCTCTTCTTCTTCTTTGCTCGACCCTTCTGAAGATTTGGAAGGGGATTCTTCAGGTATCGAAGGTTTCTCATCCTGCATTGGAATGTCCTAAAAAAAATTCACCATATAATTCAAATTACATTTCATTTCATTAATGATACATAATGTGCCATAAAACTGAGACTTAGAACTCATGTCTCAAGGTGGGTGGCGGAATTTACGTTGTTGATGTCTATGGGCTCCTGTACTCACTTAACATTAGGTGGGCAGTAATAAAAAAACTTATTTTACATGACATAATATGAGTCGTCTATTATCAAAGGTGGCAATCTGTGCATTTGGACAAATTTTTTTTATTGATATGTCAATACAGATTGATTTGAATATAATCGTCTCCTTCAAAGAATACGGTTCAAAACCTGCATTAAATAAAGGTTATAATAGTTAACCTGTTATTTATCTAAGATGTCGTTCCGAAGAGTTTTGTGACTGCCAATGGAATACAAAGTCAATAATTCGTTTTTCTGATTTACCAATCATTGTCCAAAAGTCAGATTGCCGGCTTTGATAATAGTCGACTCATATATGGAAACATTCGCAATCGAGCTATATTTAATTTACAAAATAATGGAATAGCTGCAATGCATCCTATAATCGTTTACTAAAGAACTAGCAAATACCAATAAGAATCCTTTTAATAGAAACAGCACCATTATGTAGCAGATCTATACAAATGTCAATTATTTTTTCATGGAATATTTTGACCAGATGAATTTTCAAATGTGTTTTTTTTTAATAGGCTCCATCTGTTCTTTATTTTTATTATTTATTTTATACCCGCATTGTTTTTAAAAGTTTCAAATAAAATAATAACATTTTCGTATATATGTATTTTAAAATGCTTACCTCCATAAAATCATGCCTGGGCGAAATTGGAGATACATTAGGTTTCTCGGGTGTTTTTTCTTTTTGCTCTTGTTGTAATTCCATATTAACTTCGCTTATCAATTGATCGTCTTTTGGTACAACAGCTTCAGCGTCCATTGATACTTCAGAAACGCTGGTCTGCGGCGATAGACTCTTTGTTTCGCCGATGTCTGAGTTTTGGGAGCTCTCCTCTGTAGAATTCAGTGTATGGGCGGCTACTTTAGTAACTGAAAGGTTATAAGTATTGTAAGTACAGTATGTACATAAATGTGATATAAGGCCACTTCTATCTAAAGTAACTCTTCTCTGCTGCTATAGTTACGCTCTTACGAAAGTCTCAGACGTACTAAATTAACTATTACATTTAACACTACGAAGCGATCGATATTTCATCAGTATCCTGTAATTTTTTTATTATATAAGTAATATACTAAAACATATTTCAGTTTTGTACATTTTATAATTGTATGTTACATTTTAAAGTCGTCGTGGCCTAAGGGATAAGACGTCCGATGCATTCGTATCGAGCGATGCAACGGTGTTCGAATCCCGCAGGCGGGTACCAATTTTTCTAACTCGTACTTCACAAATGTTCACGATTGTCTTCCACGGCGAAGGAATAAATCGTGTAATAAAAATCAAACCCGCAAAATTATAATTACTGGTGGTAGGACCTCTTGTGAATCCGCACGGGTAGGTACCACCACCCTGCCAATTTCTGCCGTGAAGCAGTAATGCGTTTCGGTTTGAAGGGCGAGGCAGCCGTTGTACTGTTACAAGGGAGACCTTGGAACTCATGTCTCAGGGTGGGTGGCGGCATTTGCGTTGTAGATGTTTATGGGCTCCGGTAACCTCTCAACACCAGGTGGGCCGTGAACTCGTCCACCCATCTAAGCAATAAAAAAAACGTTATGCGCTAAACCTTGTTCGATTTGACTAATGTTTTATTTTAATATTGTAGGTTTACAAACAGCGAATAAATAATCGCGGTAGACATCAAGGACATCGGATAATCTAGATTTAAGGGATGCCTAAATTTATATATCTCGGCTGCATTTTCATAATTTTATTTAAGTTTCCAAGAGGATGAAATCGAAACCATCGTCCGGAACATTCATTCATCATTCCATCATTCATTCATACATTCAAAGCTCTGCAAAGAACTATGATATTAGTAGTACATTAGTACGACTGACGACTCCCTCCCTCTATACACACCTTGTCTCCGTTTCTTCTTGGGCTGCCGAGGTTGGTTCTTCCTGGGCACCCGCGGCGGCGGCTGCAGGGGTCCCTCGAGCCGGTGTCCGATGGCGCGACACCATCCCACCGGGTACACGTCGGTGCTGTGCGCCCATAACCACTGGTCGTACTCAGAACCCCAACCGTCGAAGTGGACCTGAACGAACACAATAGCTGTAGTGGAGTATCTTTCCCCAAACTAAAACAGGAATAAGCTATTGGCCGTGAATATCGTGGGGACTGCTGATTAATAGTCTTTGCAGCGAGCACTTGGAAGGAAAAAATTGTAATAATATATAATGTATGTCTGATAGTTATGTGTTAGATTTTTAAATTACTAACATAGATTATAATACACTGGTAGTAAGGACCTCTTGTGAGTTCGCGAGAGTAGGTACCACCACCCCGCCTATTTCTGCCGTGAAGCAGTAATGCGTTTCGGTTTGAAGGGTGGGCAGCCGTTGTCACTATACTTGAGACATTAGAACTTATATCTCAAGGCGCACTTACGTCGTAGATGTCTATGGGCTCCAGTAACCACTTAACACCAGATGGGCTGTGAGCTCTTCCACCCATCCAAGCAATAAAAAAAAATTATAAGTAGATAATTCTTACTAACAAAATGTAATGTTTTGTTTTGTAAACAGAAATAAAGTATAAATAATAAAATACTTCGTTTTACTGAACTCAGGACATGTTTGGCGTGTGAGCCTTTTGAATTTCCCGATAAAGTGAATACCGGAATCTATAGACAACAAGGCGCATTGTTACAAAAATAGTCAGGGTGATGATGCCTTTCTGTTCGGACTCACCACATCACTTATCACCAGTATACAATTTTTGGGAACGGAACCCTCATACCCAGTACAGTGTGAGCTTTGTTACCTTCAGTAAGTCCGCGACAACTCTAGCTATCGTCGCGACACAAACGAGCCTCGGGTCCATAAGATCGGCACATTCTAGTCGCATTCCAGCGACGAAGCCGTGCGAAACGACGTGACCTCTAGCACTGAACAGGGATCGGTCCGCCGCGATGCTTCCGGTCATAGCCAAGTAATCTTCCCATTGAAATTCCTCAGGCAAAAATCTAAAAATTACACAAACAATTCGAATTTGTATATACAATTTTTTTAATTTTTTTTTTTTTAAAGTTTAAATACAAGAACTTTAAACTAGAGCATTGGAAAATATTCTAAGCAACTGAGTATTTTAATCTATTGACTGAATTGAGCAGAACACCATATAAAATGTTTGGGCGTGGCAGAAATCTGGCTGAGCCCATGCTCGCCCACCAGTCCTGGTAAAACTGGAAAGACCTTTGGGCCACCAGTAATCCTTCGATCTTCTAACAGTATACATCTGATTAGGTACTAGGTTTTAGTTTTATAAAACAACTAGCGACCCGCCCTCGCTTCGCTTCGGAAACTAATTTATTATTGATTTCTCCACTATTTCATGGATGTTATTATATGATATATTATACATATAAACCTTCCTCTTCAATCACTCTATCTATTAAAAACCGCATCAAAATCCGTTGCGTAGTTTTAAAGATTCAAGCATAGGGACAGACAGATATAGGGACAGAGAAAGCGACTTTGTTTTATACTATGTAGTAATTGTCGACTTTATTAAATCACGATTTGGATTAACTTTTAAGTACATTAAAAAATATACATAAATTTCGCATTTGATGTTGAAATTCTTAAAAGCAATAGATCTATGTGAAAAGTTGATAAGCAATAAAACTATACTCACCCTGCAGGTGGAACCAATGGAATGCTGTTTGCCATAGCGAACCCCACCGGAAAAATACAGGGCGATCTCTGGTGGTAGCAAAACCAGTCAGCGCCGTTTGCATCAGCCGGATAGCAATCTATTCTTATCATCATATACCCCTCATTCAATATCTGCATGACTGTAGCAGCACATACTGCTGACAAATTCAAAGGGTCTATGGCTTCGATTTTCATACCCTCCATAAACAATGGTGGTTCATTAGAAGGATATTTGTAGAACATGTCATTTGTACTGTCGTTTGAAAATAAGCGACCGGTTGCAACTCGTTCACAGTAATTTTGAGGAGCATCTAATGGATGTCCGATCCGGAACGCCCAGCCCACTGGATGTATAAGAGGTGAATCTTCGTGGCACCAAAAACCATTGTCTTCCGGAGAGCTGTCATAATATTTGACGTGCAATCTTTTGCCGACTATCTCACATACTGTAGCAACCTAAAAATATATAGTATGTGTAGATTTAAAAATTAAAAAGTGCCAATGAACTTACGACGCCTTTATTGGTAAGGGATTAACCTCAAAAGCACCACAAAGTGAATGCCACCACTAGTTTTGAGGATAAAGATCAGAGTCTTAATCATTTTGTAATAATTAATACAATTAAAACTTGTTGCTTTTCTTATTGCTTAGATGGGTGGACGAGCTCACAGCCCACCTGGTGTTAAGCGGTTACTGTAGCGCATAGAAATCTACAACGATTTACGTTGTAGATTTGCGCCACCCACCTTGAGATATAAGTTCTAAGGTCTCAGTATAGTTACATCGGCTGCCCCACTCTTCAAACCAAAACGTATTACTGCTTCATGGCAGAAATATGCAGGGTGGTGGTATCTACACGTGTGGACTCACAAGAGGTCCTACCACCAGTAATTACGCAAATTATAATTTTGCGGGTTTGATTTACTTGTCGATATTCAAAATTATGTGTAAAGTAGAGCATACCTTAACTTGTGAGATTCGATTTTTATCAACAACTTCCATTAATGATCCAATAGAAAACCGAGAAACAAGACTGTCGTTCAGTTTACTATAAAAATTTGCCGGTAGTGTACGTGCACCCGTTAGTTGTTTGACAAGAAACCTGCAAAATACATAATTGACCTAGTATCCAATAATCATTGTTGAACAATCCCAAAGGAATGATGAATTGAAATATTTAATATTTACAGGTAATTGTAGGACTAGTTATATTTAGTGTTCATTTCTCAATTAAAATAATAGTTTACAGAGGAATGGCGATATGTTGTGAAGCACACCATCACCCAAACTAATGACCATAACCACTCTGCCAAGAGTGCAAATAACTGAGAAGAAAATTGAAATTAATTTACTTTGATATTAATTACCCAGTGTATATTTTTACTTATTACATTCAATTAACAGCATGGACACTTAACTTCACAATTATTTGTAAATTCCTTCACTAAAAATATAATTATTTGAATAAGGATTCTGTAGCACAGAATAGACAATCTTTGAAGAAGAAAAAAATTGCTCAGCGAAATTTTTAAGATAGACTTGCTTAATAATATATATACAAGTTTCCAAAAAATTATACTCACAATTTTCAAACAACTTCTAAACTTAATACACATGACAGGGTATCTTATTAAATAGCATAGTTGTGTTATCTTCAAATATAACTCCCAAAGTGGGCTGTTCAGTCTTTTTTTTGTTAGGTCGCGGGCCGAAACTCCTACGGGGTTCACGCACCTAGGTGGCGCGAGGAATATGTGGGTAACTAAGTGGTCGAAGATGTTAAAGGCTCACCTACTCCCCTGAGGTCACCCCTGAAGCCCAATCCCCGCTCAAGATTAAGTTCGAACAAGGTAAAGGGATTCTGAGGTCAACACTACAACCAGACGTGCAGCTCTCCCCAAGGACAGCCAGCTGAAGAAACGGCGAGGCGATAGTCGACAACTCGTCTCCCGTCTCAGTACGGTAGCCCTAGGCGATGACACTGATGTGTCGGAATATTGAGCTAATACTACCCACTGAGGCTATTTACCCTAACGTTCTGAAACTACTACTACTTCTCAATAATCCACATTAAGTAGTAGTGTACATACCTACTTTTCCTATTTAACTCTATTCCTACTACTACTACTTCCTAAATTCTGTTTTGTAACAGGATACAGTGTTGTAGGATACAGTGCAACCTTATTATAACAAACCTCAGTTCACCGAATTACTTGATATAACAAATATTTACGTGTTCTCTTCAGATTTGTGATATCGAGGTTGCACTGTATTATAACTGAGATTTCAACCTACAAATGAGCTGAAATGCAACAGGCCCCGATAACCTATTCACACCAAATACTCAACTTGATAAAAAATATACTATTTTATATGGTTTTTAAAAACATACTTCTTCCAGTCAGTATATTTATCTTCTATAGTTCGTGGTGGTATGAGTGGTTTGCCTCGTGTAGCACACCAGCCAACTGGATGAACTTCTGAACAGCACAGATTCACCCAAAAATCTTTAGAGTCATCACTCCCAAATCCTTCATATCTCAGAAGTCCCATGTAGCCTTTCACCTATGTAATTCAGATAATTGAATTCATTTAATTTCTCCATTTTGTTGTGACTCAACTCAGAGATGTATTTTTAATAATATCTTCTTAAGCAATCTAAATTATATGTACTCATCTCTCATCTATAGTGATGAAAGTATGGAGCCAGTATAGTTTTTACTCTGAAGATATAGATTGTCAGAGTAAAAATTATACAGTAAACATAAAACAGCACACTTAGTTACAACTGAAACTTTTAAATTTTGAAGCTCATTTTCTGTTTAATCTTAGTAGTTTATGCTTGTTTTTTTTTATCACAATGCAGTCCTACTCACAACATTTTTAAATCACAATAAATAATACTTGGATTATAAGATTTCAAGCTTTTACATTGAAGCCAGTATAATTTTTCTTATAATATAATAAATTTTTATATAATAAATTATTATATTATATATAATATAAAAAATTATTATATTATATATAATATAATAAATTATTTTAAAAAAAAGCATTTATTTTCAAAAATACCACTATAATTAATGCACTTACTTTTAAAACTGTAGCTACCCAAAAGTAATCACTAAGTTTTTCAGAATAATTATCACAGTCTGTATTCTTCACTTCAACCTTCATGCCCTCAAATGTGTTATCCCACATTTCATGAAGAGGTGCATGTTTGAAAAGACTCACTGGTGCAGCAAGGAAATCGCAACCAAATAACTCATCTTTCCATTCATAACTGTTCGCAACTGAAGCTGCCGATTGCTTAATGGGACCTGCCTGCATAAATCAGAGAATAGTATAATTAAGTAATTTAAGGATTATAATATAAATTAAAAAGTAAATATAATAATAATAAAGTCAGAGTAATAAAACAAATGTTTCAATATTTTTTAGTCCAAATTAAAATTATGAATAAATTCTAAAATGATAAGTTATGGTGATTTTAAATCAATACCTGTAAATCACTCAAAGTGGCATGCCATTGCTGGAGTTGGGGTAAAGGCTCCAGTGGAATCATCCCTGCCATGTGATCTGTACCCTCCATTAGTTTGAATCTCCAATTAATGTGTTTTCGTCTCGAAAAACTAGCGTTGCAACGAAGTGAACAAAATTTATTATTCCTTGGATAGAACTGCCCTCGGCGTCCAACACGACCACACAATTCGCATATTGCTAAAATCGTCACATGCACATGAACTTGAAAACCGAAAGTTGTAAATAAAATTGATTTTATGTGATCAGTGCAAAATACAAAACACCGCACGACATTATACCACGGTACTCACCGAAACTATCCTTCTCTAAAGGAATTATAGATGTATCATCAAAAATATTTTCATCTATCGTACTATAACAATTATCATCATGTTCCAAACTATTATATGCCATACTTCATGTAAAATAAAGAAAAAAAAACGCTTTTACAATAAACACATCTTTGGACATATCTGTGTTGAGTAAAATACCTATAATAAAATGATGTTACATTGTTGTCAGATTGCCTGTTAGTCTGTTTACAAATTTACAAACTTCCATCAAATTTTCTCATTGTTGCTCTGAAAGGGCCCTGGGTTCTAGTCTTTTAAGCTCCACTTTTCATATTGTGGTCAAATAAAACGAACGTTGATTATTATGGAATTGACTGAGGAAGAAAATTAAATGTTACTAAATGAGTAAAATATATCAGTTATATATATTTTGTGACGAATTTTGCACTTGGTATTGTCCACTGTCCAGCATTAAAATTTGGCCAAATAGCACTTTAACATCACTTGAGTATTACATTATAATAAAGTTATTAATTGATAAAACGCTGATAATATAGCCTTTCAAGGCTATAAGCCTAAGTAGGAAAAATAATTAAAAATACATGTGCAATTCACACGTGGTAGAAGTGAAACCTTCCAAAATTTAAATACAATTATCCTAAACGTCTTAAGTATATGTAAAATTTTGTCATTAGTAAATAATTGTAAGGTAGCGCCCTCTGTGAATTGATATTTTAATTTCACGTATAATCCTAAATTAAAATTCACTACAAGAGCTTTCATACACACGTTAGTATTAAAAAATCTCACAGATGGCGCTGTATTAAATAGTATGTATATTTCTGTCTCATTCTTTGCTGGCTTCATCCTACACATTTTTGTATTTGTGTCTCTTACCTGTCGTTTTTTCCGTTGCATCCGGTTTGAAATCACAACGATTCTAAAGAAGTTTTCACTTCAAAATTGATAAAATTACTTATCTCTATATTATTATATAAGAATGCATTGAAGTCCAGGGAAGGTTTAAAAGGTTAGATAACTATGAAAATGATGGGAATTAAATAAAAAGAACAATTTTGTTTTTCCTTTGATGTGTTCCCCGTCGGAAGGATTCCCTTTGTGTGATTTAAGTTTTTTTTTTTTAAGTTTATTTTATACAAAAGTTTAGATCTTTTATTTATAGATTGAGGCACTGCGAAGTCTGCCGGGTCAGCTAGTATTAAAATAATTGTATATATCGGCGCAACACTTATTTACTTAACTAAAATTAGTTGACCAATACAAATACTACACATGTAAACAATTGTCTAAGACGATATTCATGGATCACATTTATCGGATTCACATTCACATAATAATATGTCAATGTGAATCTGATAAATATGATCCAGATCACATTTTCTTTTCATGTCGGCTCTGTAAATTTGGGCCCTCCTTTTTTTAAATTTTCGGATTTTTTAATTTAATTTAATTTAATTTTAATTATTTGTTCGTCGTTTGTTCGTTAATGTTCGAATGTAAAAATTGTTTGTTCGTCTTTTGTTTATTTATAATTAATTAAACAAATGATCAACGTTAAGTGGGCCTCCTTTACTAGATATCTTTATTTTTATCGCTCAGATTAATTCATTTTGATCAATTATCGTTTGTTCGACTATTGGTGATTGTTCGATGATAAAAACAATTAAATTCCCAATTATTAATTATTTTATATTAATGTAATACCGAAATACTTCACGAGATGGCGTTACAAAAAATCCATTCCCAAAACTATAAAACCGTTGTTATTGTCTACTGAATAAATAATATTTATTCGTGGGTGATTGTTTAAGATGTTATGAATATTTCAGTTTTGATTTCATCAAAATAACTTGAACTTTACTACTGAATTCCGAAAAAAATTCTAATTAAGGCTGAGTTAAGTTCAGCTTTTTATTTAAGCCTCTTACTGTAGTTTTTAAATTACATTTATGCGGATTGATGTTTCAAAGCGATAAAAATATGTGATCCACGATTACCTTTAAAATATCCATCAAGTCAGGTCAGGAGTCAAATGGAAGAAGCTGGTATTTGGGAGCCCCGGCCCAGAGATGGGAGCAGTACTCCACGCGAGGCCGGACTTATGCTTTATAAAGCAAAAGTCTTTGTCCAGGCGTGAAATACCGCTTCGCTCTGTTGAGGACTCCCAGCATTTTGGACGCCAACTTGGCTTTGCCTTCCAAATGACTCCGAAATTGGACATCACTCGAAATGTCGACCCCCAGTATCCTGATACTCGCGGAAGGTTGCAGGGATACTCCTTGGAATTGCGGCGCCATGACATTCCTGAATGATCTAATATCTCATAATGCTCCTTTTCCTTCCTATATATCCTGTATAATTATGTATCCATGTATATTTTATAAAATATTGTCATTTTTCATCCTTAAGAACCATATTAAAATTTAAATATTTGATTTGTAAGTGTATTTGTGTATATTTATGAAATTTTTATTATCTGTTTCAAACTTTTTTCTACTTATCTGATCGTTTCTCGTGTTTCGTATTTTCTTTTAACTTGATTTCCCAATCTTTTAATTTACGTCATTGGCAAAAAGTAAACGCTATTGCCAAAAGAAGAAAAAAATAAAAAAGCAGATTCGCAAATAAACTACCTCTAATTTTTTACTATCTATAACTACCGGCCATTGCCGCAGCAGAGTGTCGGCTTAGTATATCATAGGATTCCGGCTTGAGCAGCCCAACGGAGTGGAGATCTTTGTTGTTATTATTGTACCCTTGACATTCATTATACAGAATTGTATGAAATAGTAACTTTTAAATAGTGTCACTATGGAAGGAAATGTTATTAGGTAATGAAATAAATGACGTCAACATTTTTAAAAATAATACGGTGGCAGTCTCTCCGTCATATATATATTGAGCTCTCAATAATATTCAATACAATATTTTTTTATATTATACAAAAAATAGATAGCCTCTGATGGCAATTTCTTTGACACAGTAGTGGCATCGTCCATCCGAGTGATGCGACTTTTATGCCGACCGAAACACTCATAGCCTTGAAGATTAGAGCCTCCACGATCTAACCGCTCCGGACACAGCTACCTCTTGTCCAGAGATGCATTCAGCGACAGACCAATAAGTGTATAATCTATGACAGACGCCTCCGCCTCTAGGTGAAAGCTTTATACCCTAGACTAGCCTCTATCTACACGTACCTATACCATTTCAGGTATTTGCGTTTTTAAATTTTTACGCACGATTTATGCGCTTCATAAATCTCACAAAATTTTTCGTCGATAGGAGCAGTGGGTTTTATTATACAGAGAAGCTAAACGTGGCTGTAGTATCAACAATGAAGATCACGTTCAAAATGTTAAAATAAATTTCAATCGTGATTAGTAGATTCATTCATTCATTTAAAACGAATTGGTTAATTGTTTCAACTATTCATTATTAGCCATGAGTTTTTGCAACAAAAATTTCGTCAGGCCGTTCGGTAAAACGCGTCAAAATGAGATAGACAGGAACAGATTCGTTCAACACATTTCAAACAACGACCACTAAAAAAGCATTAAAATCCAGTACTCTTTTAATACATTGTATCCGATATATACCGATATATTAGTATTCATTACGATATTCGTAATACAGCTTGTATTCGTGTATCGGTAATCCGTCGAATTCTGATATGCTAATATTCCGTATTCACTTATTCATAATATTAGCCAACTCACATCGCATCGGTCGGGTTGTATCTATCCACAGAAAACTGTTACTTCTAGCGAAGTATCTATCACACGAAAATATACTGGCATACGCCGTACGTGTCTCGCGGATATCTGTATATCACATTCATAACAATACTGCATGCGCTAAGAGTAAGTGAGGTAAACTATATGTTTATATACTGAGCAATGAAAATAAGTACATATCACTATGAGTTTAAGGACTATTCTGTATTGCACTTTTTACATGTCAAAGATGCTAGTGGGAATTTTTTAATGCATTACTTTTTAATGTTTGAACCTTCATTTCTTGATTCAACTAAAGATTCTACTCAAGGCAAAATAGTGCATTTTTACATTTATTGGAATAAAATCGGGGAGCTTTATTTTCATTATTTTAATTTTATTTCCTGTTCCCTTCGAATTAGTTGGTTTTAAAACGATGATTTGAAAAACGGAACTAGGTAGTTGACATTGTTTACCAATTTCATAGATTAAAATATTTTTACACAAAACGTAATACGGCCAGAACTAAATTAAGTGTTTTTACGTAATAAATTATGATGACAAAATTATCTTCTAAGAACTTCTCAAAATATAAATAAAAGTTTGATTTTTGAATTCGAAATCGAAAGATGAAGTCAATTCAACGAAATGGCTTTCTATACAAAGGGTTCGTGGATTATAATATTGTAACAGTTAACTGTTGTGTACCTACTAGCCACCTCAGTACCGTGTGAGAGGATTTTTTCAAAATCATTTCTGATCGATGTACCAGTCTTTTGGTAGAAAAAGTAAAAAAGCTGATGTTTTTATGCACCAATAAGAAATAAATAATATTACTAACTTGTTGTTTATATTAATGTACAATGTTGACCAAATTCTGATTTAGTTAGTACATAATATTACTTGTAAAATATTTAGTATGAAGTCAAATTCCTAGATACAATATACTATTTATATTATTAATAGCTAATTTATGTGTATTATCTATGATTATCAACTTATTTCACGAATACCGTATTAGGTTTAACTCGTTTACCCGTTTTATCGAAGTATAATAAGATATCAGGATATTCACGTATTAGTTAAGGTATTATAATAATACATAACGAATATATTTGTATTAGCTAATATTGACAAATATCGGTATTAACCCATCTTTAATGTTGAATAAAATTATTGTCAATGGAAGGTAATTTCCGATTTGTTTTGATTCTTGTCATTGCCATTTTATGGAAAATTTCTTGAACAACGGGGAATAAATGCAAAAAGGTAGTGAATATTTTAATAAACCAACTGTCAAGGACAAAACCTTTAAGCAGGACAGTTCGTTGATTTAGTTTGACTCGAAATGTCGCCTAGATAAATACTATACATACGTTACACGGCATATGAGCTTGAGCTAAAGCTAGTGGCACATTTGCAGAAAAATGACCAACTACAAAAGTGAAAAGTTTTTAAATTAAGTAAACAGAAGTTGGGATTTTTTTAATAAT